TGTACAAAATATAACCTAGAAAAATAAAATAAGTAATTTTTAAATATATAATATCTTATTTTCTTGACATAAAATAGTTTATTTATTTCTTCAATATATAAATAAGGCTCTAAATTTTTCAAAATTCGTAAAAATATTAATTGATAAAAAATTATGTCTAATAATTAATAATAGAATAAAAAAATAATCTAAGATAATTTATATACCAATCTATAGGTACTATAGTACTACTAAAATTCAAAAAATAGGAAAAAACTTATTTTTAAATTCTTATAACTTTTAAAGAGGCAGGTTTCGACAATTTCAAGAATTATTGAAAAATATTATTTTATAGTTTTTGAGTCAAAAATTCTATGAAGAAGTTATTTGGATTTTTAGATGGCATTACATACAAATAACTATAAAAAAAACTTAATGTAAAACAAATGCATTCTTGTTCTGCGCAAAGCTTAAAAAATTAAATTAATTACATGTATTAAATGAATAAATATTTATATATGTAACAGAAACCATAAAATAAATTAAAATTGTAAAAAAAAATGTTACGTTAAAGCCAAGGGTAAAAATTACAAACATGAATAAGTTGGCGTAGTTTTACAATTATGCTTGAAGTTTTACTAGAAAACTTTTAATTAAAATATTTTAAAAAATGTGAGAATGATATACAATTATATATTACATTTTATCCTCTAGAGTGAGTTAGTTATTATTTTACAAATATTTAACATAGTTTATAACTTCACGCATAATTTATTTTGAATAAATATTTTTTTTATGCAGTACATATTTACAATAAGTATTATAATAAATAATATTGAATTGTTAATAATATACAAATAATTTAACCAACCCAAATAGTTGGGATAAAGGAGAAGAAGAAGAAGAATAACATATAAATAACCTTAACCTATACACTTTTATAGCTTGATTTAATAAGAACAAGTAAATTAATATTATGATTTACTATACATTTTATTATTCTATTCTCTTCTATTTTTCTAAATATTTGAAATCACTCATCTACGTATAATTAGTAGATATATAACTATAAAATATTTTAAAGTAATACGTTCCATTGTAACTTAGTGTTATCAAATTAGACACTCTTCGAGCATTTTGGATATATTATTATGAGAATAATTTGTTGTTATTAAGCTTTATTGAAAGTTTAAAAATCAATATTTTTAATCGGTTTTCCAATATAGTAATGTAAATGTATGATATTGTATATCTAGTCGACAATCAGTAAGTTTTATACACTACATAATACATATAATATTTATAAGAGCTATATGGATAGTGAAGTAATAATAAGTAAAAATTTTATGATTCTTACGCGTACTTTCTTGCATTTTTGTTTCTAAACAACGACTATTATAATTTATACATAAACCTATAACAATAACTCTTTATAATTGTAAACATGTAAAATATCGTAAATTTATGATTCAATAATTTAATTTTTTTCCTATTATAATTAAATATAAATATTAAGATGCCAAAAATTGTGAATCATGATGATTTTGTGATAAGATAATACAAGTACCGTTAGCAAAATTATAATTTTAATAAATCTTCATGCAAAATTCAAAACTGCAATAAAATAGCAGTAGCAAGTTTTATTTCAATAAAATAATATATTAATACATTTTACATATTATAAATAAAAACGAGTGATATTCCAAAGTCCAGTCTACTTCAGCTACTCTAAGATTTGATTTGATTTTTAAACTCAAGTTAACCAATGATTTAAAAACAATTACGTAAAAAATAATCGGAAAAAAAAAACCATAAATATTGGGTGATAATATTTTCAAATATGCGTATTTTTAGTTTCCTCTTATATAGATATTATATACATATTATATAATTATAATATTGACTATATAATTATTATCGCAGTAATTATGGATATTTTAAACTAATTTTCTTCAAAATTTGCAATATTATAACACACGTCGAATGGATCTTATTGTAAAATGAAATACGTTTTAAATTTAATAACTACAAACCTGGTACTTCGGCTTTCTCGCTCTCTACGGAACTTAAATCTTATTTTTAATTATAAATTTTGATGAAATCATTGATTTCCCCTTAGTTTTAATACACTTTTTTTTTGCGAAAGTTAGAATATTAAAATTCAATCTTACATATAAAGAAATTAGGTTCTTCTAATGAAGTAGACATATTTCGTAGTATAAACTGAACCATCTAAACTCTTTCATTAGAATCATTTTTCCAAAAACTATGGTTTCTAGTTTAAAAAACAATTCAGCAATAACATTCCATATTCATCATATATCAAATCACATATTCATATATTACACCCAACTCTGGAGACTCACTCAACCTAAGAGCTTTATTCTTTGTTGTTTTTAATATGATTATTTAATTTTAAATTTAATAAAAATGTGTTTACGGTAAAAGCAACAATTATAATATTGCATAGGTAAGTACAAACAACGCTATCTAGTGAATAACTGTATCAACGATAACGTACTAGTTTTATGTTACAATTTTTAGTATGTTTAATGAAGATAAAATAAGCTAGGCGTTTAATAGCTTATATAAAATAATCTAATCTAAAAAAAAAAATATTTAACACTCACCAATTTTTCATTATTGTCTGACTAATGACGCACATCATTCTATATAAAAATAAAAAATATATTAATTTCATATAATTATTGATGATTTAATAAGGATATTATATAATGATTAATACTCGTATTAATAATAGTATTGCATATAATCTACATAAAATAAAATACCCAATAATTGTAATAAGCTGAATATAAGTTACCATAAATTAAAAATAATAGTAAATATATCATTTCTAGAATTTCAGTTTACAGTAAACAAAACAATATAATAAAAAAATATAATCCTACATAAAAATACGAAACATACCGTAAATTATAATAATGTAATCATTATTTTTTCAATGGTCAAGAATCTCTTAAAAAACAAAATACTTAAATATGCATGCACTAAAGTTGGGAATTTACTAAGTTAATAAACAAGTACTTCTTTTGTAATAGTATAAGGTACTTAAAAAGTTAAAATTTTACCAACCAAATGGTATTACTTATTTTAGTATATACTTGTTTAAAAGTATTAAACTTATAAATTAATGTTTGCTATTTTTTTTTTATAAAAATTAAATTAAGTTTATTTTAATGAGTAATAATTTGAAAAAAAAAACCACATTAATAGTTACTTTAAATATTTTACCTAATTCTTTTTTTTTTTTATAATACTTATAAATTAAATTAATTATTTATTATTAAGTTACAAAACCAAGGTAAGTTATTATAATTAAGACAGTTACTAAAATTGTGAACATCCCACTTTAGCAAACAAACACTAACATTTTAAAAATATTTGACTTAGATTGCAAAGCATTTAAAGTACATAATTATTTGCCATCAATCGATGACAAATCATTTTCTTTAAAATACAATTAATTATGTATAGAATCTGGTATAGAACTAGAAATTAATAAATAATATTATTACAAAATAAATATAAAATTATTATCAATAATAATATCTTTATATACTCTATTTATTAATATTTTTTTTAACACTTAGGAATTTAATTCTAATATATTTTGACATAAAGAGAAAGTTCTCAATTACATGATATGGGTAAAGGAACAGAATGAGTTAGATAGTTTAATTTTCTGATGCTCATCTATTCAAGAACATGAAATCATAAAAACCCCTTTAGCTCAGTTGTAAGATCAGGAACTCTTCACTATCATAATATGGATCTCTAAGCAATCATTATTAATCAATACACATAATAAACTATGTGTATATAAAAATTTATAAGTCTGTATGAATTTTAGTTTAAATTGAAAAGCATATAATTTATATTAGTAGGAATTATAGATTAAAAGAAAAAAAATCTTATTTAATAGTTAAATATTCAAATAGAAGCAAATTTTTTTTTTTTTAATTTTTCCATTATGACTAGGTATTTAATATTTATGGGTAATTTATACATTAACATGTACTAAATTTGCCATTCTATGTAACTAATAGTACATCTGTCCTATAGATGTATAAATCGGTCTAGTCATGCTATAACGCCAACTGTGTACACAAACAATTTGTGGTAGCTTAATATTTACATTTTGTACATTTCTCGAGACTCTATGTAGTAAAATTTAGAAATGTTAGAAAGAGAAGTATTAGCATTTTATAAGAAATTAAACAGAAGAATTAAAATGTTTTTATAAAAATGGTATTCTTCCATTGAGGCATCTGAGGTTAGAGTTACATAGATCATGACAACAAGCTGTTGATAAATGGTGCTTAAAATAAAAATATAGTTTTAATGTGCTGTTGGCAAGAACTTTACTGTTTACCTATAACAATATCATGAGTATAATTAGCAATATATATATATTTATCGATTGATGCCAATATCCAAAGCCCCTGAAGACAGCTACTTCACAAACCATAAAAGACAAATAATGATGCAAATACAAATTACATACTATTTATTTAATTGATCCATTACATTGTTAGAAACAATAAATGATATATTATTGACATAAAACATTTAACAACATTTATGAATTAATGTTATCAAGACACATATACTTACGTTGTGTTCATATTCGGTGATTGTCTTTAGTTTAGATGAAAATAGCGGGAGAAAACCATTGAAACATCAATTGGGTAAGGTCACAATTTATTTACAAACATGTAAGAGTCACATAACAATAATAGTTCTACATCTAATGGAATACTTAATATTTATGCTTAGTGATTATGGTGAAATACATCAATTACTTAAAAATAATTTATTGACTAAGATACAATGAAAATCTAATATTATATTACCTACTTATAAAAGGTTAAAATAGTGCTATTAGATCGTGTATAAGACAAATGCTATGAGATAAAAGAATGTTAAGAATGTTTCAACTGCTCTGATGCGCATAATATAAGTAAATCAGTGGGAAACCCTACGTATCTACGATATACCTATTCCAAGAGCTAAACTTGATTGCCTTAATCGGACATCCATAGATGTAGAGTCAGCAGTGACGGTGAAAACGTGACAAAAGCACATTCACGAAAACCCATTTCAATGACAATGGATTTATCAAATGTCAACCGCTATGACAATGAAACCGGCTATATGGCAACCGAGGGGGCTAGAGTGTCTGGGTTGGGGAGGGACCATACCATCGGAGAAGGAGGGATTACCGTGGAAGACTGTAGGCGCAGAGAGACGGACTTTGAGGAACTGGATGGTGTCCGACGGTCGTCGACTGCCCGTGCGCGCTGGCGGGCGACGGGTAATATGATTTAGAGAAACGGATGTGCAGCGGACAAACGCGGAGATGCGGCGACGACGACGACGACGGACGGCGAAAAAAAAACACGCGCGACGAATGTGCGTTTCGATTTTAATTCGAATTCCGACTACGAGTACTACAACTGGCGACAATCGGAAAGACTCTCGACACGAATCGCGTACCGTTATCACAATACGCGCACTGAACGGGCGGCGGGTGATTAAAAAACGGCGAACCAAAACAAATGCGTACGGTGTCGTCCCCTCCAGTCGGCACGTACGGTCGGCGGCGGAGAGGTGACCGTGGTATCAGCCGTCCGTCGATGGTGTGTGGACGGTGCGGAGCGGTTGCGCGCAGTGGCACAAGCGTTCGCGGGCTGCGGGAGCGATGCCGGCGGTTGCGGTATCGTCCTGGTTTAAAAATAAATCGCCCGTGGCTAACGATATTTTCGTCGCTTACATTTTCCGACTCGTTCTCTCTCCCGTCGTCGTCGGTCTGGGGACATTGGCTCGCACGGTCGTGGAATTTCACGCGTGTATATATATAATATTTAATTTTTTTTTTTTTTTAACTAATTTTCTTCAGCTACCGACTCAACGGCGGGTGCTGCGGTGATGCGCGCGCGCAACTCAGCTCTCCCGAAATCCCGACGTACGCAGTGGTTTGGCATACAGCCGCCGCGTTCCACGGACCACGACGACTGCTGTTCGCTCCTCTTTCTCTTCCTTTGTCCTCCCCTTCTCCTGCGCTCACGTTCGTGCGACATTGCGATACGGACAAACACGTTCGCGTCGAACGCGTGATTCGTGTACCGGCGTCCGTAAACACGCTCACGCTCTTCGCCGTCGCATGACGTATTATTATTATTGCACGTCGTTGCGCGTATCGAGTTCGTGGACGCAGACGACGGAGAAAAATTATCTACAATAACAACAGTGGCACGCGGACCGAACAGCTGTTTCCTGATAACAGTCACGTCGCCGGCGGCCGTTTGTTTACTGTTAGGGCTTTTCTCTCCCCCGGGTCAGGATCCCGGCATAAGTGGTTTTTTTTTTTTTTTCCCCCATTAATTTTTCCACCCCGGTGATGCGGTATATTATTTGATCTGCGCGCGCACCACCGACGACCGTGTAATGTCCGGCTGCGGCGGTAACCCGTGCTCAAGTACGACCGGCGAAACGCCGTTGGAACAACGACAACCTCAACCGACCGGTAAGTTCCTAGTGTACGTCGACCAATTGGTCTTGCGCCACCAAAGCGAGGCCGACTGGAACGGCGCGTGAGTAAAATAAATGGCGTGCATTCGGTTTCGCCGATTGGACCGTCCGGTTTTGGTAGTCTAGTATAGTTTTATTGCTCGTCATGCTAATGGGATCTTACGGCCCTACCGGGGTAACACGTGCAATAACGCTGATTATTATGATGGACATTTATTATATTACTTTGTAAATTAACATATGTACCTACAAACTGGAACTGTGACATTAGGTGTACTGCGATCTTCTGGTCGGTATAATGACCAAATCGGTAAATTTCGTAAAAAATTAATAATTTTATCAATTCGTTTGTGACAAAGGTTTTACTACCTTTTTTCCCAAATAAACGGTTCAAAATATTAATTATTCTTTCAACGATTTATCGAATAATTGTATATCATTTGTGTGCATTTATATTAGAATTTTTAGGTTCATGATCTTGTTGTTATCAATTAGGCATATGTTTGATAACCTTACCCATTTTTAAGTGCTTATTTTTCTTAAGGTTTTTCATAAGAATTATTTAAATCCAAAGAAATTAGAGTATGTTTGAGTATATTTGAGTATGTTTTGAGTATTGTTACAATTTAGGCATTAACATAAATATGTTGAAGTTATATTAAATTAGACTTGTCATAATTTATGAAGTACTGAGATAATTAATATGGAGACCTAGGTCTACTTCATACATTAATTATTATATAAATAAAAGCCAAAATAAAATCTATAAAATGTATATAATTATTGAAACAAAAATAAAATAATTTAAATAAATATATAAGAAAAAGAACATTTAAAATTAAAATCAAGTATAAGATAATTTTATACCAAATATGTTAAAAATATTAATTGTTTATTTTAGTTCATTGTTCAACACTTATAATACTAAGAACATAGAGTTTGTAAATTTTAATTTTTATATTGTTTAATGGCATTAAATTGTTTTTTTAATTTTCTAAGAATGGCTAAAAGTTTTTTGATTAAAAAAACCTCTGCTTTGATTGATCTGAAAGTTTTTACTGATTATTAAATTAATAAAAAAGAAATAGGTAATTGTTTAACATCTAATTAAAATTATTAAATCTTCATATTATAAATTAGCTATTTAAAAACTGCTTGTGATCACAAATATTTTGTGACTTGCTCTAAGTGTGAATTTAGAAAATGTTTTATTAATAAAGGTTTTTAAGTGAAATAAAAATTTTTCACCTATGTCTTAGAATTTAAAATTGACTCTAAAAATGTTATGTTTTTCCAGATTCTAGAAAATCAGCTGACAAAAATTTTGATAATCTCTTACATGAATACTTGTGCTTGGAGTTGGGAAAAAGTAAAAATGATATATTCAACTTTGTGCATCTAGGCCAATCAATGACAATTGATAACATCAATAGTAAGTTATTGATTTAAAAGTTTACCCATCATTATTACTTACCCTAAAATGGCTTTACAAAAACCTAAACTTAGTGGCTGTATACATTTTGTTGAACAAAAGAATGAGGAATTGATCAGTAATTATCGCATTATTTATTCAAATTTTGTATCTTGTCTATATGACAGTTCCAAAATAGCTAAAAAGAAACTGGCTGTGTGTCATGATTGTGAATTTGAAGGTGCTCGATTATCATCATGTTTGTCTTGTGTATATTTTGCATGTCCCACACATTTAACAGAACATTTCAACAAAACACAACATAGTTTTGGTATGAATCTAGTTACTGGGCATTTGTTCTGTTGTCATTGTGATGATTATATTTATGAAACGGAAACGCTATCGATAGCGAATGAATTTGATTCGGAGATTTATAGTTTTAAGAAGTATAGAGAATTTGTATCAGTGGAATACATTGAATTAATTCAATCAAGTAATAATATTGCATATGAGAACAATACACCAATTCCTGGATTTGTTAATTTGGGTAATACATGTTTCTTAAATAGTGTAGTACAGGTGCTTATGCATACACCTATGTTACGAAATTATATTCTTTCTGACCAACATGTATGTCCTTTTGTAACTGAACCTAGCCAATGTATAATATGTGAAATAAGTCGAATTTATCAACAAGCTTATGCATTGAAAGTTAGTGTAATAAGCCTACACAATTTATTGATGATATTTTGGGATAACACTTGGTACATGGCATCAGCCTTACAACACGATGCACATGAATGTTTCATTGCCATATTGGATATCATACACAACCAAGCAATAATAAAAAATGAAAATGATAAAGATATAAAACATTTAGAAAACTGTCAGTGTATTATTCATCAAATATTCAAAGGTGTCCAGCAAAGTGATATTATTTGTCAGAAGTGTAATAATGTATCATCTAAGATTGACATCATCAATGACATTCCTATATTTTTTTCAATGGATGAAAAAGGAAAGTATCCAACAAATTTAACATTAATGGCTTGCTTAGAACAATTTGGTCAAATTGAGTTTTTAAATGATTTGGATTGCACAAATTGCCAAACAAAGCAATTTTCCTCTAAACAACTTACTTTAAAGCATTTGCCAATGGTTTTATGCTTTATTTTAAAAAGATTTGGACAGGCTTCAGATAGCATTTCCAATAAAATTACTACTGTTGTTGAGTTCCCAGAAACATTAAATATGGCTAAATTTATGAAGAAGAAAACTCAAACTGGAAATCATTTCATAAATGAGTGTATTCGTACTTATGAAACAATCTATAAATTGTATGCTGTTATTTGCCATGAAGGTCTACTGAATGGGGGACATTATTTATCTTATATACGACACAAGGGAAGTTGGTATCAATGCAATGACAATGTTGTAAGATTAGTACAATTTGAAGATATATTGAGAAGTCCAGCATATCTATTGTTTTACCACAAAGAATTTTTAAATTACTATTCATAAATTATGCATGCAATATGTAAATAAAATAAATGTATTTTTAAATTAAGTATAAATTACTTAGATTTTAAATGTATATTATAAATGATTATTTTGTTGACACATAAGTGTCCATTTTGAATTAATTTTTTTTAACTTAGGTCAATCACTAAATTTTATTTTATTTTTTACTGCTTATTATTATTATTATTTTTAAACTTGGTCTCAATTTTTTCGTGTATCATTAATTATAATATTATTTGTATTTTTTTTAATTAAACTACCTATGTGATATATATTTTTCTGTGATAATTTATCAATTTTTCTACAAATTTTTTTATAAAACTATTGTTTATTATGGAAGTGGATACAATTCATTCAAAATTAAATTTAGGAAAATGGAATTAACTTATTTTCTACATTTACCATGTTAGAATGCATTATTACTCCTATTCACTATCATATTAAACAACATCACCGCCTATTGGTACCTGTATATTTTAATATTAATAATTCTACTCTTTTTTTTTTTATTATTTCTATTATTCAGTATACTATAGAACAAATTATCCTTTTAGGGTGAACCCATCAATAATTAAATAATAAGAAATGGAGTATCCATCAAAAATTTAGTGGGGTAATGGAATCTAAATTACCTTGTATAGATTTATAAAATTTTAATATAATAATGACAATGGTCTATGTTCCATACAAAAAATTTAAATTATAATTTTTTCTATTTTAATTCTTAGTATATAATTCATTTTATCAATTATTTTTTGTAGTTAAAACCTTTTATGATAATAATATATTAAATTTATTATTGATTCTGTATCCAAAATAGATCATATTTGAAGAATCCGTTTTAAACTTGTGTATTAATCTTATCTAATCAAAATCATTCAACAGGAATAAAATGTCATAGATATAGTAATGTAATTTTACAATCTAAGTTATAGCTATATAATAATAATATATATATATATAATGTTTAAAGAAATCTGAAACATGTATTGAAACTGAAAGTAACATTCTTAATAATTAATATTTTTTTCAAAATATAATTTGCTGCTCTTGTCGTATATATGTATATAAATATACATAATTATTATAAGCAATTTTACTTGTTAGAGATAAGTTATTAAATATTTGTGATATTTATACTATAATTGAACGCTCAACAAAATTATAGAAAACAAAATAATGCTTAAATGAACTAAATAATTAAATGTAATATTTTTTAATCTTAAGTTATGTGTTTTGTGTTATGACTAATAAAATAATACAATAATCATATTGAAATTGTTTTGGAATATATGTACACAATACATATATTAATTCTTTAAAACTCTAAATTGTTTAATTACAGGAAAATTAGGATGATCCTATATACCAAATCCTTTTGTGTCCTTTTTTTAATTAAATTTCACCATTATTAAAATTTTTAATAATATTGCATTTATGTGAATAAGATAATAGCTTATTTTTCATAATTATAAATTATATTTTGGCATTAACACTACTGTAATATGTAATTGGTAGGTAAGAAATTACTAAAAATTGGTTCACTGAGCAGTTTTGATTTGTTCAAGAACACACTCCCTCTGGATAATGTCCTTATCATACTACTTTATCTTCTCATGATGTGCAATAACTTGTTATGTTAAATTTTGGCTGGAAATCTTATTTTTACAAGTTCCTTTTTCATCAATTCTAATATTTTAATACAATATTAAGGCATTTGTACATTGTATTATTGTATATGAAAGGTTTTATGGATAATTTGATTTGTTAATTAATGTTACATTGTTTTTGCTAAATGGTGTTCATTCATTACTTGCCACTTGGGTTTACAGTGCGATTTGTTATCAACATCCAACATAAAATTATAACTAGGTACTAAATAAATTGCTTTGTTATTTATATTGGTTATAGCCATGTATATGTTATACTAATTATTTAGTTTTAATGTTTTCTAGACACCACAAAATTACTTAACACAGTCTTACATGCTAAAGTAATAAATACACAATTGGAAGCAAATTTTTCATTAGCATGCTTGGGCTTTAATGATAGTCAATTATTCTCATCTTCAAAGATCAAAAACGTATCGGAGGAAAAAAACAATGATGCACTGTTGTCTGTTAGTCAGTTTATTTTACAATCATCAGAACTAGAAGAATCTAATTTCAAAGAACAATTTTTTGTCACAAGAAGTTCATTTCAAGTAAATAATCAGAAATACAATGAAAACTTTCTTTAGACGGAATAACTTGGAAACAAAGTAATTTTTTGTTTTGATTTAATTCTACTTTGTCCAACATAATATTTACTATTTTTTTGTGCAATTGTAAAGGATTTACAAACCATACTATAAATACAATTTCAATCCAATATGAATTTGTCGATCCAAATTCCGTCTAAAACAGGTTTTACTATAAAATGTTTTTATAATTACTAGTGTTATGCCAGAATTATAATGTTTTATCATCATTCTCAGATCATATGTTTTCATTTGATGCAAGAATTTGGAAAGAATATGACATACAAAAGATCTGAAATAGATGTTGAAAAACAATTGCTAGTTACTTTGTCTTACTTAGGAACTGTTAAGAGTTACAAGTATGTATCAATATATATAACAATACAATTATTGTATATATGTTACATATTTTCAAAATTGTTTTCTTGTCTAGGGATATAGGTTCAAAGTTTAATATTGCCATTAGTACAGCTCACAAGTGTGTAAATGATGTCACAAATGCATTATTTAAACGTATGAGTGAACTTATTTATTGGCCGATAGATCAACAAGCTAATATTGAAATACAAGCCTTTAATGAAATATCTGGGAATCGATTTCCTGGTATACTTGGTGTTATTGGTACAGTAGACTTAAAAAAAACCTGTACAGCCAACCCATCCAAACAAACTAAAAGTGGATCTTCTATAGCAATTCAGGTAAAAGTATATTTAAATAAATATATTATTTTCATGCTTGGACTTTAAATAAATATTTATTTTATTTATAGTGTGTGTGCAACAGCAAGTATCAGTTTTATAATGTCTTCACCAGTTATTTGCTCAAATCTTCTGTTACCACAACAACATTTTTAGAAAGTCCACTTGCTGAAGTGATCCTCAATAATCCAAATACACTGTTTCCAAATAATGATACTCATATTGTTGGGCCTTGCTGTTATCCTCTGCTACCCAATCTAATGACCCCTTTTTCTGATGATGTATATAATACAGAATCCCAAAATGTATATAATGATGCCATAAAGGTACCATTGAACATCATAAAATTAACATTTGGCAAACTCATTGGACGATTCAAAAGACTGATGTATGTATCTAATTTTTCATCATAAAATATAATAATTCATATATTTTACCAGTGTATCATTTTTTTTTGTATTTGTAATAAATAATAGGTGCTTGGACTTATGGGGACAAGAAAAGTTTGCCATACTCATATTTGCGGCTTGTTGCTTACACAATATATGTTTGGGCAATAATGATGATGTCAATTATCCACCATACGAGTGCTGTACATTTAAATGTGATTATTATGATGAGTTTAGTGTACGAAAACGTCGCGAAATATGCAACAAATTAAGTTTTGAAACCACTAAATGATTATTTAAAGAACATGAGTCATGTTAAGCCTCAACTATAAAAAGAGTAAATGTAATTAAAAATAACAATAAATATTTATGTACACGATTAAAATAAATTAACTGATTTTAAAACAAATGGTAATATTTATTACATAGCGTGAGGAAGTTTAGAAACTAATTTTTCCAGCAGTGTCAATTTCTTGGTTTCTAATTCATTTGATCTCTTCAAAGCTTCTAATGTTTGCTGTTGAAACTCTTTAAACTCTTTTCCTCTTCTATCCAGATTATCTTCCATTTCTTTTAACCTAGTAACATCAAAAAAATACATGAGAAAATTAATTAATTTAAAAGCTTGCAATTACCTTTGATCGAATTCCTTATTTCTTAAAATAAACACTTCTTTTAATTCAGTAATTACTTCTGGTTGAATAGAACAACAAGGTTTTGAATTTTGTTTACAGTTCTGTTCATCCAACTCATCATTTTCATGTTTTGTGTCATTTAAATCACTGTGAGAAGTTTCATTATTTTTTGGATTTTTGGTTTTGTAGATTTCTGAAGTTCAAAAAAATATAATTATATAAACATTTTTTAAGTAAATATTTATTATTACCTCTAAATATTGAATCAATTTTATTGTAATATACCCAAACCACTCTTGAATTTCCTTTGGAGGAGCGCATTCTAGTTTTGTTTTTATTATAGCGATTCTTCAATGTACGCCACTTATTATCACAAGCTCTGGGGGAGTAATTAAAACCATTTTGAGCCATTTCTCCAGATATTTTTTCCCAAATCAAAACTTTTTCCCCATTGGCTGCTTTCATAAACTTCTCTTTATATTGATCAAAACAATCAATCAAACACATAGTTGAATCCATGCTCCAGGTAACTAAAAATATTAAGATAGAAATGTATTTGTTACTTTATTATAACCCAATAGTATTTGAAGATCATAATATAACATCTTACTAGTTTCAGCAGGTACACCAAGTATTCTATCTAAATCATAATAATATTGCCATTTCACACAATTAACTCCTAATTTTTTGTACTTTTCTTTTCTCTTAAAATAATTAGCTTTTAAGAGACGCCATTTACGATCACATACCAAACCAGAATAGTTGTGACCTCTTTGACGTAACTGATCACTAATTTCATTCCACAATAAACGTTTTTTTCCTTGAGCAGCCATTAGAAAACGTGTACGGTAAAGACCCCATAACTCTATTAAACATTTAGTGGCAGCTTCTGTCCAAATCTCTGTACCTAAACACATAAAAATTCTTAAAGTAAGTACTTATAAATAAGGTTGTTTAAATTACATACAATAGTATAATTTATATTTTGAAGAATTACCTGTGTTGTCTTCGCCATCGTTATTATCATTTTTAATAATATTATGATCTGCTTGAAAATTATCATCATAATTATAATTTTCACTTTCTTTTTTTTCATCCTCAAGTCCATTTTCATCAATTATAGATACTGTGATAATATTATTCATTTCTGGTTTAACTTAATTACATTAAGTGAAAATAAATTGGTATAAATTATTTAAATAAACTGTATATTTAATTTAAAAAAAAAAAATCTACCTACTTTCTTCAGTCATATTTTTTAAAATATTGTCCATTTCTTTATAATAATACCATTTAACATGTTCCACTCCATATTTTAATGCTCTTTGTTTATTTTTCTTAAAAGTCATTTTTAAATTACGCCATTTATCATTACATGCATTAGACGAATATTGATACCCTAACTGTGAAAATTGTTGTGAAATTTCTTCCCACAGTAAATGTTTTCCACCTTGGTTGACTGAAGAAAATTTATTTCTGTATTCACCATACAGTCTAATTAATTCCCTGGTCGAATCAATAGTCCATTTATCAACATCTTTTTCAATAACTAAATTATATAAATACAAAATATAATACTTAACAATTAATATTTTGATTAACGATCAATAATATTTTATTTACTATTTGATGTATTAACAGTTGGATATTCCTCCAAAGTTGAAATACAATATTCCTGTGCACATTCTTTTAAACTGTTGTCTTCTTTTAAATCTATAAAAAAAAAATGTATAAAAAATAAAAGATCAATATTATTATACGTATGTTATACCAGAAATTTCATAAGGAATCCCATTAATTGCCTTTTCCATATCACAGTAAAAAGGCCAAACTTTTTTATTTTTATAACCATCTTTTTTAGTAATATGTGATTTATAGTACATGTAAGTTTTTTTAAGTTCACGCCATTTTGTTTCACAAGCAAGAGTATCAAAATAATAGCCATATTCAACCATACGTTCAGATACATTTTGCCATATTATTGTTTTCTGTTTTTTATCCGGGCAGTTGGTAAACTGTTCTCTCAATCGACTCCAGCAATAAATTAAGTAACGTATTCCATGATTACTCCATGTGTCTGGAATTGTAAATAAAAATAAATTGAATGATTCCATTATCTTTTATTTATTTAAAAATATATATGTTATGTATAACATACGGTTAGGTGGTTCAATGTTTATATCTGTTTCATAAATCTCTTGCACTTCATTATTTTCATATGAATCAAAGTTATCTTCTTGACCATTCAATACATCTAAAAATAAATATAATTATGAAAGGTAAAAACTTTACTTCTTTTCTTTTGACCATTGTTATTTTTAAATGTAAAATTTTAAATAAATTACCAGGTTCATAATCATCATTTAACATGGTATCTTCAGTGATGGTTAATGGTTGGTACTCTGCGTCATCATTGACCATAATTGCATAAGAATGTTGAAGTAAATCTGTTGATTTGTTTGGCATGATTTTAATTAATATCTAGAAAAAGTTAATAAATCACTTTTCTCATAAATTGTTGAGATATTCTGTAAAATTAAGGCACTGATCATAATATGAATATATATATATCAGAGATGGAACTAGGAATTTTTACGCCCGGGTAAAAATGTTAAAATTACGCCCTATCCATAGACTAATAAACAAATACTCAAATAAATTGTTTTCTTATAATCAATATATAATCGTACTTATTGAATTTTAACCTAATATCAGTATTTAACGAAGTTAAAAATATCAAATTAGTTGTTAATAATTACAAAAATTACACCCTCTAAAATGTTACGCCCGGGGATAAATCCCCAATTTCCTCCCCCCCCCTAGATCCGTCCCTGATATATATACATAAATTAACAATATAAAAAGTATATATTTAATATGTGTATATGTATATATATATATATATATATATATATAATCAATGATTAAGGTATTACAAATCGCTATCTAATATTCTTTGAAAGTAGATAATTTAATATGTTTTAATAAATCAGAAAATGATTTAGTCAACCCGAAAAGGAAAAAAAAGTTAACAATAAATGTCATTTACATTTAAACTTAATCAATAAAGTTATAAAATACATTTATAATACTTGAATTTTTTTATTTAAAATAAATACTTATTAAAATACCATTTACATTAAATGTTAAAATCATTAAAAATATTAATTTACAATCAATACCAATTGCAATAAGAAAATATGAAATTATTTGTTAATAATGAAAATGTATTAAGATCATTTATCAAATAAAAAATTAACATCTTTTTTTATTTATTTTTTGAAGCTGCCATGATAAAATAAAAGATATCCTATTTAACTAATTATAATTCTTCAGTGATTTTACATTGGTATGTAAAAATTACTTTACAATAAATTGTTATATAAATATTATCTTTAAAATTGATATATCCAATATTAAATAATAATTGCGATTATAAAAACATATACAAATAAATTCTAATCAACTAAAATACACTGCATTTACAAACAAATGATTATAAGCAGTTTATATATACTATATATAATAACGAAAAAAAAACTAAGTCTAAATCATCCTAAAAATAATTTAATGTTTAATATCTTTCAAATATTTGGGAAATGGTGCTACGATTTACATTTTTCGTGTACTCATGTACTATTATTTTTAGTCTTCAAGAGAAATTGGAAAATTAAACAATGATATTCTGAATACCTAAACCATGGATAAAAATTAATTAAATCATGTAGATATGAACACTTTTCTAGCACCAGTGTACGCACCACTTCCTGTGCTACATTATAACAGGGATCCCCTTGCGTTGAATTTAACAGACAATCAGACCATAAGCCTAGTGGTGAAATACTTAGTACAGTATGTTAGTTTTCGATTAAGCTCTGAACTTATACACAGTATTTGTGTACAAAACAATTTTTACATTATTTTAAGCATGTTTAAAACAAGAAATTTTTTTTTTTTCGATCAATAGTAACTAACAAAATAGTCAACAATATGATTATTGATTAACTTAAAAATATATCCTATGAAATGTAATTTATTTCACTATTGGTATAGTATACTGCTATGAATATGTGAACACATTTAGTGAATGTTTATGAAATTGGTTAACTTGTATTAACCATTTAAATAAAACTTTCATAATTATAATAATAATAATGATATAGTAATCCAACTGTTAAATTATTAATAGAAGATAAGCCAATGGTGATAAAACAATATGTGTATTTTTCTTTAAAGTTTTAAGATAATCAAAAAAAAAAAAAAAAACATGTGTTAAACATCGTGTAGGTAGAGCACATTTTATTTTGAACGCGTTTAAATCAAACGTTCTTCGGAACAAAATGTTTAAAACCGCAGACCCTGCTCATACACCAATGGGCGTTAACAGTGGTGTGCACAACATTGTTTTAGCATAAACGACGTTGGATGAGAGTTCGCAGCTAGGGTTTCCGAACGAAATCAGATAACAACTCGACGGACGGAACGGTAATAATGACAAGATCAGCATTTATTATTATTACTATTATCATTGTCGGACGGGCCGAGCGCGACGTAACGGTGTACTTACTACGGTGCACAACGGGACGAATACGACGAGTTCTCGGCGAGATTGGCACGACGCGCACGGCGTCTCGGCGGACGTGCAACGAAATCCGGAACGGATCGTCTGGTTCGGCCCGGGGTCCAATCGAACGTGCACCGGCACGACGGACGGTGGCAGCGACGAGACGAACGGACCGCGTCGGATTGCCGTCGTGAACACAACGTACCGTAACGTTGCCCGCGATGGCGGCGAAACGGCCCGGGTCTTATCACGACCGTTTCCTCCACGGGCCGCGCGACGCAAGTCCGAAACGCTCGCGGTCCACCGGCGAGTGCCACTGATGTTTGCGCGGCACAAGACCAATGGAATTTCGGTTAATTGACGCGAAGACGGATTTCGCCCGGCTCGAGTATCACCATATGGGATATACGTTTCACGATGCTGCGTCGACGTTGCTATCGTTGCGGGAACACTTACCGAGGACGTTGTCGACCAAGATGGCGGAAGAGCAACGTCATTCGGTCGCTCGCACACTTGTGCCACGCGGAATTCGTCGCGCAGAACGGACGATCCGTTCTGTGATTCGCCTGCGAACGGTACCGATTTGAACGCGGGGAATCGATCGAATCGCGTTTCGTTGCGCGGCCGGAGTGGGCGACGCGATTATCATCATTTCAATGGCAAATTGTTCGACCACCCTTGTACAACGGCGCCCTGCGGTTCAGCGCCAGTTTAATGAAATGTCACCCGCACCACCGTGCCAGTGGGGCCGCGATATCCGTTGCGGGCATGGCGTATTTACGGGGGGAGGGGTCCAGGGGTACTGGACCCCCCTCCCAGAACCTCTCCAAAAAATAAAAAATTAACAACAATATTCTTACATATTTGCAGAATTGGCCAAGTTAAACATTCACAGGGAAGTTGAAATTACTGTTGATGAAGTGATAGAGGAGTTGACCGAAAAACCGAGACAACTGGAATTTATTTTATAACAATACTTTATAATATATAATGCTAAATACAATATATAGGTACATATATATATAATATTACATAAGACTACGATTATTACATTATATATTTAGTTCAACTTCCTCCAAAAACTGCATAAGGACGTAACTATTACAATATAATATATAGTTTATATTAATTATGTATAAACTGTGGACCCCCCCCCCAGTAAAAATTGAAAATACGCCACTGGTTGCAGGCGAACTGAAACGATACTATCGGTATGGAAACAACGGTCGCGTAACAGCGCACGTCGTCAACCCGTTCGGCATTGCATTAGATGTGATCTGTGATATTACAGCGATGGGTCGTTCATGAACGAATCTGTTCTTCCGAAACGATTCCGCCCCGTCGTTCGTTTTGGGTACAAGTCACGCACCGATTACGCGCTGTTCGTACGAGTCCGAACCATTTAACCGTTAAACCATATCGCGGACTTATAAACTAGTTAATGGATCATTGGTTCGTTATAGTTCAATGGACGTACCGATGGGTTTTAGGGCCCAGTGCACAACTTTGCGGGGCACCACGTATATTTATTTTATTTTAACATAGTAATACAAATAATAAAGTTACAGGGACTTATAAGGTGGCTACTTAAGTGCAACATCTACTACGGGTACAGTCTTCATTTTCGTCGATATTAATGAATAACTCGAGCGCGGGCCCGGACCGGCACTGCATTGCACATACTTGCTGCTTTTAGATCCGATCAGTCAATTCATAACTGTGATTTGTAAGAAATGTCATCAACATTTCTCCTAGAAAACGTTATCCTATTAACAACTTAGGGGTATGTTTTCGATCTTGAATATTTGTTGGATTGTAATTTTTTTGAATTTCTCAACGGTTTTTCTATTAGGCTATGGTTACTATGGATGCGAATTCTGACGAAAATGTGTTCTGACGAATTCATCCAAACAAAGTATTTTCCAATGAGAATGTGTACATTGGCAGCGACGATCACGTCAAAACATACACGATATTGTCAGAAACAGTTGAGCGTTCAAACAAGTATGATTTTTTCGTGCGAACTGCGTCTATTTTGACGTGATTGAGATTAGCAAATTTGATATTTTACAATTATTATACAATTTATTAATATATTAATTTATTTGAATCATGGATTCCGATAAATTAATCAGTCTCGTGTACGAGAAAAAGTGTTTGTGGAATATGAGAAAAAAATTACTACAACAGATATTTTTTCGTCTCTTCTAGAAAATAATGGCTTAAAATTAACCACATCGAACAAATTGACAATCAGCAACAGATTTTAGGAGCCCTTGGTTTGTCTTATCAAATATTGCTAGCGGAACGTACATATGATCTTGACGTTTTCGCCAAATATTTATGATACAAAATCTGTTGTGATGACAACAATTTGCGCAGTGATAACTGTATGATAAGAGAAGACGCGCGCAGCGGCCAATTCGCCGAGCTGCGATGCAGTTATACATTGTACATCGTATTGTTATCATGAATTAAAGGATCGTCACAGGCGCCGTTAACACCGGAACAGCTGTTAGTCGTCCTGCCCGTTATCAGTCCGTCGGTCCAACGTTAATCGGTGTATCACCGAAACGGTCAGTCAACGCTCGTCGTTCGTTATAATTGTGTTTCGCCAGTCGCCGAGCAAACTTTTACCGAATCCTGCGACCCGAAGACGTACACCATGTCCTCCTGTGCCGCCCACCAAGCCGTGAACTTGCACGAGTGCCTGGACCTGATCACGCGACTCTCGCGACACGCCGGAAAGGTAAAACCCCCGGGAGGGCTACTGAAAATCGCGATCCGCATAACCGGTCCGAAGTCGTTCATGAGTTATTATTACCGGAGTCACTGGCCTTTAGGTTTGGGAAAATGTTACAAGTGATGGGTGTTCATTCGTATGATGTGTTCGTCGGGTCAGGTCGATTTTGCGACTGCTGAAACCCGTTCTCAACCCGTTCACGAACCCCCAACGTGACTTGTTCGATTTCGTGATTGCAATCAGGTGCGGATACAAGGGGGAAGGGTAGCCTCCCTTACACAATAGGTAGATCTATATCGGACGTAGGTACTCAAAATATTTAAAAAAAATTAGACGTAAGAAAAACTTCGTACAAATCGATATGCGCAGCCATAGGCGAAACTAGACACTTTTATTAGACACTATTATTTCCTATAATATAATTATACGATAAACGTCAAATGTCTAAATTAAACAACAAATAATATAACCGATTATTCGAATACATATAACAGATTTATTAGGTATGTTCTATTATAATCCTTATTTGCACCAATTGTACCTACATACCATATTATATTATAGTATTATATGAAACGTACTAATTTATACGTTTACATGTATAAATATATTATTTATAATGCCTAAATAATTATTAAAACATATAATATATACATATTTTTCGTTAGTATTAGGTTAGGCCATGCCTGACTGGCCTGACCCGTAGTTTTGCTTATGTGCGTAGCACATGATTTCAGTAACTCACTTTATTAGCCCCCCTTTTTTTTTCATTTCTAGATCCGCACCTGATTGCGATTGTTTATGCGATAAACACTTTTGAAATAAGTTATTCGAGAGCACGCTAACTCTTCAGTCCCCGGCCGACGGATTATCTATATTCAGCACACGGTATTTGTAGATATGTCCTTTCCGGACGATTCTAAGCATAATACGCATCCAACGGTATTTGAAATCTCATACTGTTGGTGCAATTTAACGTTGTTACCGTCCGTGTTTTGGTCGATCGAGAGTAATTCGTAGGGGTCCATGTAGATATAGATCGGATATCAACTATAGGAAATGTTTTATTCGTGGATAATTCGGAACTATTTGAGCTTTTTTTCCTGTCCGATTGCTAATGTAACAGAATTAAAAGATTAAACTCAAATCTGTACGTTATCAATTAGCTTTGGAAGCTTCCATTTACAAATATTTCACCGATCGTAGTTTGAGACACATGGTATTAGTAATAATTAGTGATGTATTGGAATTTATCCATACACCGTATAACTTTATATTTTATCGCTCATTAACTAATTAACTGTTTGGTTTACAATGTTGTTTTGTAAAAATGCTTTAAAATACTAAATTTCAAACACTCTTAGTATTTTAACATATAATTTAGATAATTAATTAAAAAACATTAGTATCGTATATTATATGATTTTTCTTGAGATTGATTCTGATTATTTCAGACCGGAAAGATCGAGTATTGTTAGTTAGATCGTAGTTGTACCTACTTCTATAGATAATGCGATATTTAAATTTCTTCTAAAATATCATTCCAGCAGGAACGGTTGGGCAATTACCGTAGAAATTGTCGATTCTAAAAAATACTCTGCAATCCATCCACGTTTGTACACATATAACCGATTATACATATATTCTATGCCACATGACGCGTGTATAAAACTTTCATCGTTTACCTTATATCTTTTTTTTTATTTATATTTACAATCAATTTCTGGTCAATTTTTGGTTACTTGGTTCAGAAAATGTAATACATAAAAAACAAATAAAGAACGTAATTTTAAAGTTTTTATTATGCTTGGTAATTGCTATATGAGAACAAGATTAGAACAATAATTGGTTTTATCAAGTTGAATAATAGTTCTCTGCTTTTATTTATAAATAGCGTGAGCATCTGTGGTTTTTTTATTTTATAATTTAAATAGGTATCATGTTTTCTGAAAGTTTTAATTAATGTCAAAATACTACAGTATATTCAGTAATTATGTAAAACTAATGGCTATTGAATAATTTCAAAGTTTTCCCAATTTAAAAACTTCTACATTTGGATTTAGTTGTATTTGTTTATTACAATCTGGTTTTCCCCTTAACGATGGTAAAAAATATATAAATGTATTTACATTTATATAAATGTAAATTATAATATTAATTATAATATATTAATATATTAAATATATTTAATATATTAATATATATTAAATATTATATTACATCATATATTATATATTTATTTAATATATTATTAATTATAATATTTATTTAAATCTCAATTTAAATTTTGAACTGTAAAATCATATTCTTAAAAATTCAAATGTTAATTACGTAATAGTATGTAATTTACATAGTTCATTTTATGCTTTTATCGTTACATACATTACTTTTAATGAAAACGTAATTTAATTATTTTTTCTTAGTTGCTTAACTATTTAGTATATGTTGTTATCATGAAAAAATATTCAATTCAAAGGCTTATATAAACAATTTTTATTTATCATAAGGCAAGGCATATATACATATTTCTATCATTGTAAATTTCTCTTAGATAGTATTTAAATTTGTCTATGTATTAATTTATATGGTAACGGAAATTATTATTTTAATTATAAATTAGTAAAATTAATTATTTTAATTATTATTTTTGTTTATGCAGAATAGTATACAAATAACAGAATCATATAAATTATGTATAATAAAAAAAAAAGTGAATGGTTAATAGTTTTCTTTGAGGTTTTTTCATTTGTAGTGATTCACTACTAGTGAAAAATTGACCAAATTGTTAATTAATTAATTTTTCTTTTAAAGTGTATCCATCATGATTGTTTATATTTTAAATTTATTTTTTCTACTGTCTCATTAAACTTCTGTGAAATAATTATTTAATATATTTATGGAGACTACCACTTACAAAGTTTTTGAGTTATCTAAATTTATATAACTGTAACTATTTTATATAAAGTCTATTATAAACAAAAGTATATATTATATAAATATTATTTTATTACATAAATATATATAACATATTTACAATTAACAATGATTTATGTGAATAATATTGTTAAATTTTCTAAGAATTATTCACAAGGTGTACTGTCATTTGGCAGCATTTATTAGGTACTATATTTCCTATGCTAATAATGATAATTAAATTCTGTTTTTTAGTTACTCTGTAATGGTAAATAAAAAATTGTGTTCAAGAAAAAATGTTGTAATTTTTATTCAATTGAATGATAGAAATTTTATATAATTTATTTTTCTGTTACTTTTCCCCTTCAGTTAGGTATTTAATTAAAAATTACTCATAATTTATTATTTGTAAAAAAATTGTATTATTTAAATTTGTTATTTTTTATTTTTTTTGTTATAACCACCAGATATTTTTAAATAAATTATTACTTGTTAAAATGATTTCTATAAAGCCATGGGAGTGAGTTAATTTAGAGAAACAATTTGCTTATCTTAAAAAATTCCACTGAATACATTGTAATTATAGTGTATATCCAAGTGTTATACTTTATCTTCTTAGTAGCTTTATTTGTACCAACATTATTAACTATATTGTATTTATTTCTAGATTATCAAATCTCGAATCAATCAGAAGAAAACAATTGAGACTAAAGCTACTTCTATTGATTTTGTCACAGAAACTGATCAAGAAGTAGAAAAGTTACTAATTGAAGGGATTAAACAAAAATATCCTAATCATAAGTATACCGGATAAAACTTATATTATATATATATATATATATTTACTAATAAAAATAAAAATATTTTAAAACATAAGGTTTATTGGTGAGGAATCATTTGCTGCGGGCATTAAAGAAAAACTGACATCGGCTCCAACTTGGATCATTGATCCAGTGGACGGCACCACAAATTTTGTGCATAGCTATCCAAATGTTTGCATATCTATTGGTTTGGCTGTTGGCGGAGAAGTTAAGTTAGGAGTTATCTTCAATCCTGTCTTAGACATGTTTTTCCGAGCAATCAAAGGCGAAGGAGCATTTCTAAATGATGAACCTATCAAAGTTAGTGGAGTAAAAAGTAAGTAGTTCAAGACTGTAGGCCTGTCTTGGAAGTAAAACATTATTATTTTTTTTTAGATTTGAGTGATGCTTTGGTTGCTGTAGAATTTGGTTCATCCAGAGATGAAGACTTCAGAAGCATTGTAGCCCACAACATTAATTATTTGGCAAAACATGCCCATGGGTAAAATTTTAACAAAAGAATACCTTTGAAACTATAGAGTAGCTTAATTTAATTGATTTTATATTCATAAAAATATTCTAGCATTCGTGCTGCTGGTTCAGCTGCTTGGAATTTAGCTCAAGTTGCTAGAGGAGCTATAGATTTGTATGTAGAAATGGGTATTCATGCTTGGGATATGGCTGCAGGTGATATTATAATTAGAGAGGCTGGAGGTTCTGTGATGGATCCAGCTGGTAAGTGATATTCTATTTATAGTTATAAAATAAAACAATATATATGCGTTAAAAATAAAATATTATCTCTAGGTAAAGAATTTGATTTGATGAAACGAAGAGTATTGGGTTCATCTTCAATAGAGATTGCCAATGAAGTGTATCCAAACTTGCAGCAGTATTATCCAGAACATGATTAAACATTTTTAAAAAAATTTTATTTAAATAATTATACAGTAAAAATTATTGGTTAGAAACTTCTAAACGCATGTGTGAATATTTCATTACATTGTAATAGTTGTCGTTGTTAATTATTTATGAGTATACCATGGACCATTGTTTCAGTGTGATAAAATTAACCAACCATACTGTTATGCTTGAATAAGTTAAGAAATGTGATTTTTAATAATTTTAATATTATGTGAAACAATTTTGTATAAATGTAGTTTAGTTCACATAAAAAAAATATTAGGTAATAAATAATATTTATAAATATAAATATAAAAAATAATTTATATGAAGCCAATTGAAAAAAAAAAAGTGTTCATGAAACTACTGTTCATTCTCACCAGTAAATCAGTGTATTTATAGACTGTTTTTGTAAACTTAAACCTATAACACCTCGTTTAGAATCTCTGATGGAAATGTTGACCGATTTGTTTCTTCTGAAAAATTTCCAACACAGCTCATTAAAATTCAAAACCGTAAAAAATGAAAAAAATAACAGTAAGCTTAACTATAAATTTAAATAAATCTCATTAAAGTAACTTTTTTCTTTCATTTCATTCAGTAAAAATATCATAACACATTTATTTATGCATAATTTCATTATAAATGTGTTATGATGTTTGAACTGAGTGGACTGAAAGAGAAATATGTTACTTTAATGTGACTTATTTAAATTGATCTATGTACCTGTTGTATAGAATGATGACTTTAGCTCCATCTGGTCTTTTGAAACCCACAGACTTGACAACAGTAGTCTGAGTCAATTTTATTCGCGTGGAACCTCTAGATATAAATTTAGAAAAATGTCCAATGGCGTAGAACATTGGTTGCTTGTAGAATTCGTCCTTAGTCTTGTCGATAATGATAGGTGAGTCGATGAAATTAGATACCCATGTTGGTCCGCCTGTCATATCTAAAGCTAGATTCCATTCCAACCAGCCTTGTACCCAATGATTTAAATCCTGATATTTGAATATAGAATACAAAATTATTGAGATCTCTGTTGGTCTAATGCTCCAATGTGATATTACACAGTAAATTATTTAGTGATAGTCAAACTTAACAAAAATGCCAAATTTTCAAGAAATAATGCATATTGTAATTTTATAATAATATGATATAAGCATTTGGTAGTAATGTTTATATTGTGAATATTCCTAAAAAATAACAATATGCATCATTGTATTAATGTACATTAGTTTGGCTTGATGCAGCCTTCAAAATTACTGAAATCAATGTCAATATATATATAGCCGTATAACTTTATATTTTGATAAATTAATACGAATATTACCTAGATTTATATTTTTCAAAACCTAATATCAGTATTTAAATCCTTTTTAAAAAAGTACTTACTTTAGTACCAGAACCGAAGTTACCAAAAACAAACCAGTACTTTGATAGAATTTAAGGAAGTATAAGTTGACGTAACTGGTACCATTGACTATAGAATACCTGTAGAGAAATCTACTCTATATTCTATTTTATAACCAATGCTGATACTTATTAGAATTGTAAAGCCCCTTCTACAAGTTTAAAGTGATTGCAAAATGCATACTGTTCTAAATTTGTGAAATTATGTCTCGATATAATATAAATAGATTTTTCCAAACTGTTATTTTTTTTTTTTTTAAGAAAATAACAAAAAAATATTTGACTAACTATTACATAACTGTTCGTTGGACCTGTTCAAAGAGTACGACGAAATCAAGGAGTGTATAAAACTCGGGGAACTAAAAAATTGGTCGTTGGTTAAAAACGATATCTCTTCGTTCAAATAACTCTAGGTCATAAAATATCGATTCTCCTGTGATCCAGTGTTCGTGTTATGCACAACTAATCCTAAATAATACTTACGTCGATTATGTTGTTCGCGTAATTCTCGGCTCTGGTCCAGCTACCCAGTTGAACTTTGACGAAGTCCCACGGTTTGTCTCCTGGAGAAACGAGTAGAACAGAAACCAATTAATTATACATACGTCATTCACTACGGATGGTTATAATTGTGTATCGTCAATATATGTAAATTAAACAGTCGTTTGCTCTCACCTTGCGACGCTTCGGTGTTCATTATAATCTTGTTGCCGAAGTCTTTGTGCACTTCGTCCAGCACTTTAACCGGAACGATAAAGTCCAAATACCAGTGGACGGCCACGCCGTCGATGTACTTTGCGCACTGTTCGTCGCTCATGAGCTGCATGCAAAACGGAACATTTTGTTATATTTACTATCCAATATTTGGAAAGACTGTCGTTCGTGTTCTCACGTTCGCGTTCATATTTTTTAGAACGTCACTCGCTTCTTTCGAATAGAGCGTGAACGACGTTTATATTTTTAATGAATTCAAACGGTTTTTGGGACGTTCAAATTTATTTACCATTTTAAAAATATATGTAAAAATAATAAATATTGATTGTAATATGTTAAAATATAGATTTTAAGCATAAAATACAACATAGGTATCTATTACACTTATTAAAGGTCCCATTTTTACCGAATGCAAGTTGATGATTCGTAAATATAAAATGAGAAAAATTTAATGAACGGTTAAATGAACGCGTTCATTTTTTCGTAGAATTTGAACGTGAACGAGTTCAATCTTTAATTGAACACTGCTTTTACCTGACCTCGGTGAACCTTAGGTATAAGTGGACACGCTGTTCAAATCATACAGTGTATTTCTGAAATGGTTTTAGCGATAAGTATATGCGTACTAGTTAGGATGGAGGAGGAAGGTAAACCAAATTTTTTAAAATTTTTTTCTATCTTCAAAAGCTTAGGTTTGGTTTGATTATCTTTAGAAAAATGAAAAATGAATGTCGATTGCGATGTTGAAAACAATCAATAATTTTATGGAGGGTTTTAATTTTCGTATAGGGAGAGTGGAATAAGTGGAATACAACTAATGTAACCGATGTAATCAATAAAAAAGTGATTTATTGTGCTGATAAATGGATACTCTAAAAAAATATTTTGTGAGACTTATTATTAAATAAGTGTTATATAAACGAGACCCAAATATAGTTTTCATGGCGATGTAAAGGTAGTTAATCGAAAGTCAAAATTAGGTAATATGGAAAAATTATTATAATTATTATAGAATAATAGTAAATCATCGCCTGATGATCATTCTGTTAAAAAAGGACATTAGAGGTTATTTCTATTCTTCCCTTGTACACGCTTCTGGATTTAAGATAAATTATGGATGTCTCGCGTCCCATCCCAACATTGTCTTAGCCTATACATAGGTACGTATAAGGGTTCTATAATGCGTATTGTTAACAATAATGTTTAGGACGGACCCTACGTAACTGTATCATATTGATTTAATAGTAATATTTTAATACATATTGGTTATATATATATATGGACGTACCATTTTTATCCACCAAGGCAGAACGATCCTCTGGTCGTCGATAGCAAACAGTAGTGTGTCCTTATGTTCGGAACCCTTCAGCCGGGGCCCCATGTAACGTCCAATCCACTCGCGGTGCGACACCGGTGTCCAGCCCATCGAGTTGAACCGGTTGACCGGCACAATGCCGTTGAGCGGTTCATTACCCGTGGTCAGGGCCCAAAAGGTCAGGTTCTGTTTGCGGTACTCGTCCAAAAACCTAAACACGGCATAGAGCTTAGAATTGTCGTCGAGAACAGTCTGGGGCGAGCTAAGGCCCATGGGTGTGGTTTTGGTGAACTCCCTCAAATATAATTGTTTTTTTTTTTTTTTATACTTTATTACTTTATCCTTTTTTTGTACGTTATAATAATTATTTAGTCTGACATTTATAAATCCATTCCCTCTACTACCCCCATAACGGTACCCTGGACACGCAGTATCATAATATATACATAAGTATATTATACTGTTATACACAATACGTCTTAGGGTATGGAGATGGGGTTAGAGTGAGCGGATGTCTTGTTCCGATGATATTGTCAGATAGCAGAATCCCGGGCATTTCGATCAGATAATGGCAATCAGAAATTATGCGGAAACTGGAAAATATCACGTATGTACGTATACCTATCAATATGTTATCAAACCGTTCAGTGGCGTATACAGAAAATATTTTCGGAGGGGGCAGGCTACTATGGACAGAGTTAAATTGCCACTGCTATCTAAGAATTACTAACAAGACACAGTAGGTACTTATCTACATTTCATTTACAGAATGTCTCAAAACTATTTGACAAAGGCAATAAAAATTGTCTCAAATGATCACATTATTTACGCATTTCCTATAGTAAGTATAATTTTGTATTTATGAACAAAGGGTATATGATGTGGTACATGAATATTTTATATATATATATATATATATATATCTACTGGATTATTCCAATAATAAAATATGCTATGAATAAAATGTACTATACAATTATAATTTATTTATTTATTATATAATTAACTATTAATAGTAAGCATTGAACTATAAATTGATAATCTTAAAACATTTTAATGAACTATTGAAGTACAATTTAATAAAATAAATGCAGCCAGGTTAAAATCATTTTCCTATTTTTTTTTTTTATAAAATTATTTCTAAATAAGCATAAAACACTAATAAAATAATTTTTAAGGTTTTTTGAAACATTTCGGAGAGGGGGCTGTAGCCTATTAGGGACCTCCTCTATATATGCCACTGAAACTGTTGGTTTCATAAAATTGTTTTCCGGAGAACTATATCTATAATAGTTTCAGATTAGAAAATCAATCGTCTGTTACTATATTCTTGGTGTAGAAATGTTAATTTTGAATTTTTAATACTCCACGTGCATTTCGCTTGGATGTATTAAAAGTTTTAGAAATAGGTTTATCAAGAAACAGGAAACATGCACTTCAGTGTAGTGTAACGCGGTTCTTACATAATTAAGTTTTAATTAACATTTAATTTAATTTTAAATATTTTACAATTCAACAGAGCAACATTCTATTTATGACGCGTAATACGCTCGATATATTTATTGTGACATTTTTCGTATATTTTAAATTATATTTTAGTTTTATATGCATTGCGTTTTTGTACCTAATGTTATTTTTTTTTTTAATCGAAACCGATTTTCCTACCTACAAAATAATAAAGTTGGTTATACACTACGCGTTTTAAAAAACGCTTACGCCCACAGTGGTCGGAAACGTAATTTAGCTTGACTAAATTAATATCTCTGAAGAAAATCAATATTTTTGAATAAGGTTTTTTTTTCAATAATCTGTATAAAGATGTCAATAATTCAAACTATTTGAAAATAAAAAAACATCTTTATGGATTTTAATTTTTGGAAAATTTTGAATAATTTGTCCTTTTTTATTATTTACTTATTTTTTATTTTTGTTTTTCAGATACTAGAACCGGGATTATCATGATATGTCTCACAACGAATTCTCTAACTATATCTATACCTTTTCAAACCATTTTATTACCTTACTTTTTTATTTAATTAAAAAAATATATATATTCAAATTATGGAAAATTTTATAAGATATTTTATAAGATTTGAATAAAGGCTACACCTTTTTTTTCTACGTTTTTTCAGAATATTCACTAAATATTTTAATAGGATGACCAACATTATCAGTTTTTATTTTAGACGAAAAATTAAAAACAATTTTAAGCCATTGGTCTTCTTTTTGAACAAATTTACTATAATTTCTGTAATATTTATTCCACTTTTTATTTAAAAGTATAGTGAAATTTAATAATTTATTTTTTATTTCCTTTTCATTATCTGTATTATGTCTCTTTACGTTGTATTGCTTATTAATAAACTCATATAAATAAAGCCTGGACTCCACATTAGTAGGATTTAATGATCCTTTTTTCTGCAAATAGATCGCGAAATGTCAAATGTATTATGCCACTCTCTCCATTACTAGTCCCTAGAAAGAAATACATTTAAGGTGTAAACGCAAATAGACGCAATTTTTTTTTTTTTTTTTTGATCTGTTTAGCCCATTAGTTTAAATTATAATTTGTATATATTGTTAAATTATAAAACAAATATATTTTTAAAACTACCCTTTTAAATTTAAAAAAATTTGAAAAATCGGAATTTTTCAAAGTTGTAAAATAAAAAAAAATAGTATAAAAACATTTTTAAAACTTCTAAAAATGTACTTAACTTGTTCCGTAGTATCCATAATGTATATATAAAAAAAAAAAAATGAAATCTAAAACGTGTGCACTTAGTACCACGAGATACAATAAAGAGAGCGCAATAATAACAATATACATTCAAATTTATATATTGTATACGCTTATCTGGGAATTCAGCAAGGTTAGAAATATCTAAATTTATCATAAGATTCATTTTATCTCTAATAAATATAAAATCGATAATGATTTTATGTCATAAATGGTATATGACATGATCTTAAATTTTCATTTATGCAAGCTAGATTACGTTTCCGACCACTGTGCGCCTGTATGTAAACCATACTGTTTTATTTTTCGGCGTTTTTAAAAAAAATTAAGCTAACATTAATTTAAGGGTCGTATTACACTACAGCGGTTTTGACGCGGAGTGAAAACGCTAGATGAAAACGTACACACATTATACATATTACGCGACGAAAACGCAAAACCGTGGCATTTGGGTTGCCAACCGGCACACATCAGATTTCACATCTATAGACTTAAAAAGCCGGTTGCCGGTATTAATTTATAAAAAGCCGGTATTTTCAAAGTAATAATTGTACAATTATAAAAAGCCGGTATTTCCATTTGATTGAGAGTTTCGATATAAATATATTAACGTTTTTGTGAAATTGGTCATCAGATATTGCAGTCAATAAATCGTATTATCTTAATGACTTCAGACGTCTATTATCAACTTTGACATTTTTATAAGTAATATGATTTTAGTATGTACCTTGTACCTACCATGCCGTTGTCGTATGTAAATATGTGATAGATAAATTTAAAAGTATATATTTTACTTTAATTTACTTAATTATTTTAACATAATGTAATATTACTAATATTAAATAAAAATTCACTGAAAATTATGACCTTTTTTTTTTTTTTTGGTACGCTTGGACCGGTATTTTTCAAATTAAAAGCTGGCAACCCTCCGTAGCATACTGTATTGCATGATTGCGTTTCGTCTATGGTTTTCGACGCGTGATGATTACGTTTATTTTTTTTTTTTAAACCTCGCTAAATTGATCATTATCAATTGATTCGAGCAGATTGCTTGTTCAATGCGTATACAATGACAATGCATCGATAATAGTATTATAATAAAGATAATTGTTTTCATTCACTTTATATGATAATCGGCCCACGCTTCCATGTACATCGGTTTGAGAAAACCGATTCCGGAGTAGTCGTTGTTGGTTTTCATCCATGGCGGAGCCGACCACGCCGATCCGATCAACTTCAGCTCGTCAGAAACCATCCCCATGGCGGTCTTTATCAGAGGTATCTGCATGGACAGTATCAGTAAGTACAGTGCACGATTTACCGAACTTAAATGCAATACGATTATAGTTTTACATATGCAGCCAAGAGACAAGGATAGTTAACGTATAAAATCGAGTTTTTGTCTAAAAATTCTGATACGCATTATATATTTTATGACCATGTATTATAAGTTTATACTTTTTAGTTGGTGTAGTCTATACTATAATATACTTTAACACTAGTTATACCTAAATAGTATTTAAACTTTAATTTCAATTGTTCTCGTATATATTGCAAATATATTTAAATCCTCTCTTGCTGTTCGAGACATTATTAATAAAAAATAAAAATTAGTGAATAATATCTTAACTATTATTTTTAGTACCTATAATATAAAATCAACGATAGGTACAACGTTTAAATTATAAAATAATGCATAATATAAACATATACACACACACACGTCACACCAGAACCTACTTTGAGTTCTATATCTTCGGGGGCCAAGTCGAAATTGCTTAAGTCTGGAACGCCTTTAGTATCGGCGTACGTGTACTTGCGCGTCGAGAAATCTGTGCCTCCGATCGGAACTCGCCCAATGTTGTATTTGATACCGTCGTCTGAGAAATACGACCTAAACATAACGGATAGGTACTATAACATATGCAAAATCTATTTGTTTAGCTGGTAGCAGTGGCGTATTTACGGTGGGTGTTCTGGGGGTTAAAACACACCAAATTTTTTAAAAAAAAAAAAAAAAAACAAATGATTACGGTGACGTAATGGAAACTTTGTCGATGTGTAATCCCATAATATTTCCAAATTAATTTTAATTTTTAACCATTCGCCACACTCCAGTTTCAACTGTACAGAATGAAACAATTTTCGTTATTAAAAAGGATTATCTTACTTATCTATGTAATAATATGACCCAAGTCTACTTGTATTATCTTATTTTACTAAGACTAGATAATAATAATAAAGTGTACCTAATTAATTTATAACTGTTCTCTCTTGAATAAACTAAATGGGTCGGTCATGTTATTAATCAATCGGAAGGATCGTATTGAAAGTAATCAAGTATTGAATGAATCGAAGACAATAAAAAAAAAAAATACGTTTTCCTTTAACATGATAAAATCAATTAATACATTTATGAAAAGTTAAACTGATTTGTGAAATACAAACTGATCCGAAATTAGTTAATGTTTTGTTCGGTACAATTTCTCATACTTAATTCCATTAATAATTATAGTAAAATATTGAAATAGAAATCCTAAACGTTTATTTATTTTTTTTTTCAACAAAATTACCGCTTATAAGGTGTTTTTATATCATTGAGTTATTAATATAGGTGCGTATAAAACTATAGAAGTATAACCGTAACCGTTCATTAATGAAATATTACGTTGATATTTTCACTGCTCTAATGCGATAGGCAGTCGATTAGAAATCATAACATCATTTTCAGCAAACGTGTAATCCCAATAATGTTTTGAAAACTATTGGCGGGTAAGTGAATCTTTACTGTAACCAAATATATGATCATATCATTCGATTCATGAGACTACCTGATCGCTTACAATTACCTATGTTAATTATTATTTTATTTTTATTTTCTATTGTAACATATAGGATGTTTGTATTGCTATCAAAATATATTATATTTGGAATTTAAATATTTGTTTAGCTGAAAAGTGGTATTCAAAATATATTTAAGGTTGGTGAAGGGGGGGGGGGAGAGAGGAAAGAAACCCCTCACGAGTCTATGTTAAATATTTGCGCACGTGGAACGCAGTTTTCAAGTCATTGGACTGAGCTCCTCTACTTAATTTTTCCCAATTCGAGCACTGATGTATACTAATGATTAGTATACACATTGGAATTTTTATCAACTTTTAACTACCAAAATAGGCAGATTTTGTGATTTTTATCTACATTTCTAATTTAAACGTTTATTTTTAAAAACTGTGCTGCAGATTTTTGAAATTTTTTCACATGAGTATAGAAAATGTGTGAAAACCATTGTAATAAAATTTTAAAATTTTATGGCCAACCAATATTTTTTTATTGACGTTATACGAAAAAAAATAGAATAGCGAAGAAACGATTGAGGCGAAATGTACTAGACCCTAATTCAACTGCACTGGTTCATGGAAAATCTATGGACGCCACTGTACACTACGGTACAGTGGTCCATTGGACTAAGCATGAAATCAAGGGGGGTCTATGGAGGCTGAAGCTCACCCCCTTAGACATTAGGTAGAACCATATCGAACGTAGGTACTAAAAATATTCAAAAAATTAGACGTATGAAAGACTTCGTACATACGTAACGAATTATGGCAGTAACTCACTTTTCTAGCCCTCCACCTTTTTTAATTTCGAGATCCGCATCTGTATGGGACTCTAAATACTAAGCCGTGAACTCATCGGTGACAATGTCTTCAAAAATGAAGAGTGCTGTTAATAAGTATTTACATGGTTTCATAAGTATAATACTCACCATAGACTTAAATAATTATATTTTATTTGTAAACAATTTTTAGATATTAAAACTATCAGTTTAATGTTATAACAATCTAATAAAAAATGTAATACCAGTTTACATCAAATGTAATTTCTGATATAATTTTATATTTGCAGCTATAAAAGAATTTAAATTTAAATCTGTTTGTGGTCGCGTAGAAACGTATTGCAATGTTTAAGTAGGTACCGAATTAACTAATAAATACTAATATATCAACGCAACTCTGTTTACAATTTTCATTAAATACAATTTTAAATTACAAGTGATTTTGAAATAATGGATAGCATTAAACAGTATTTTATTCCATCTATGGAGAATAATGTCGATGAAACAGTTGACGGAAATGATGCAATCGATGTTAACATGATTTGCATTGAACCTCAACAAAAAGTTGAAGTAAGTTGATTTAACGAATAAAAAAAAAAAAACAGAAAAATGTACTAACCATTTTGTTCTGCATATGTATCAATTTTATAAATTATATTAGAATGAAATCACTCAATCACGTTTTATGTCAATAAATGAGTTGGATGTAGAAAATTCAAACGCACATTTTATACGCAAAATACAAGTATTGAATAAAATAAAAGGTTTGTAGCTTAAACGATTTTACTATTTATATCAATATTTGTAGAGATTAGAAGAAGAAAATGACCATTTATTATCAATCATTGAACAAAAAAATGTCATGATCAGTGAAATTCAAAAATCTAGCTGTAATGATAAGCCAGATTTCGCAGCTAAAAAGATATTATTACTAACTGATAGAGTAAAAGAACTTACGTTGGAATTACAGTCCATAAAATCATCTACATGTGGTGATGATAAAAGTATCATGTTCTTTAGTGAAAATAAATATATTTAAAATATTAATTAAACTTTAACTGTTAATTAAGGAAATAAAGATTATACAATAAAAATAAAAGAGTTAACAGATAAATTGTGTCAGTCGAATAAAAATAATTTTCATTATCGTAACCAGATAATGCAATTAAAAAATGATTTACAAGTGACAAAAAATGTTAGGATATTTATTTAGGTTAGTTATATACATTTATTTTATATATTTTTATAAACCACAGGCATTGTCTAATGAAATCGGAGACTCCACTATTATGCAGGCTGTTTTATCTAGCACGGGTTCCTCAAATTATAGAGGACGAGCACAACATATACTGATATTACAGAAAAAAGTGAACGAATTACAAGAGAAATTAAACAAAGTTCGAGGAGAATCTAATGACTCAATAAAACAAGATGCTGAAAACTCAAATGGTACCTACCTAATTTTCTATTAACAATATATATTATTGTTACAAATATTTACAGTTTTTTATTATTAATATACTAACTACAATAATTGTTTAGTAATTATCAGAGAATTAGAGAAAGCACGCAAAGAGATCACAGACAAAGCATTAAAGGACACTCAATCAAAAGTCAATGAGTTGACCAAGTCAGTAAATGTCTTAAAAAATCGTAACAAAGCATTAGAAGTAGAGATATCCGTTTTAAGAATTCAAATACAAAAATTAATGTCAAAAGCTGAAGTGGATAGTGGAACTATAGAACAGTTAAAAGTATTGATTAATATATTTCTATTTATTTTTATTAATTTAATCTGAATCTAATATATAATATTTCAATTGTTTCATTATTTTTAGATTGAGTCTGTTAATAACACAAATCAGTTAAAAACTAAAGGTTCCTTATTAAAACTGGAAAAATCAATTGTATTACTTCAATCAAAAGCTGATAAAGTTTGCTTATATAATATAATAAATTATTCAATAAATAAATGCCAATATTTCATAATTATAGGCACAACAGATAATCGATCAACAAACAGCTTATTTAAAAGAAAAAGATATAAAAATAGCTCATTTAGAATCTAAACTAAAAGATTGTAATGAAAATGAAATAATATCGTAAGTAATATTAGTAAGGAGAAATATTTAATTAGTTAAAAAAAATAATTTAATTAATTTATATAAAAATGTTTTTATTTTTTAATAATTATTTGCAGAAATCATCAGATGTGTAAAATAGATTTTTCAGATCCAACAGAAAGTATTATTAAGGTAAATATACTAGTTATATTAAAGTTTTATATAATTATATAACTAAGATTTTTACACAGAAATTTAAAAAACTTGAAAATCAACAATTAATCGACCTATTATGTAATGCTCATACTGAGATTTGTAAACAAGTTAAAATTGTTGGCGATTTTAGAGTGAGTAGATTAATATTAATAGTTTTGTGGTGTTAACAAACAATACCTTTGATTTAAAGGGTAAATTCTTTATGGAAAAACAAAAATTACAAAAACTCGAGTCCAAGATTAAACTTTATGGTTCATCTACATCTTCCAAACAAAAACCAAATAATATCCCATACCGTTTGAATAATGAATTAAGTCCAAATGAAAAACTAACTGAATTACAAAATAAGTATAAAATAAATGTAATACCATATTTTTATGTATTCAAATAACTGTTAAATAATTTCTAGAATGGAACTGGCCGAAGAAGAACATTCTGCTTTAAAAATTAGCTTTGATACTCAGATAATGATCAATGAAGAAAATGTACATCGCTTTGTCAAAGCATTAAATAATATAAAAGAACAGTTATTAATCAAATGAAATATATCACAAAAGCATTTGATTATTATCTCAGCTTTTAGTTCAGTCAGTCAAATAATCTGGATACAGAACATCAGTAATCATATGAATGAAGTAAATTCAATAAAAAATTTTAGTTTAATTTAATGAAATAAATAACAAAACCACTATTAAAAATAGTTTAAAATATCAAATTAAGTTATAAAAAATCATTATTAATATTATATAAAATATTATTACTAACTGATAGAATACAAGAACTTATGTTGGAATTACAGTCCATAAAATCATCCACATGTGGTGATATTAGGAAAAAAAGTCTCCAAATTAATATTTGATTTAAATTTAATCTTTTATGCAGAAACAAAATAAAATGTACAGTAACATATAATATAATATAATATAATATAAAAATATAATAATATAAAATCTTAAACGTCTATAATATTATTTAAAAAATATGAAAGTGCACTTATTCAGATATTAAATATCTTTTTCTTATATTTTGACCTATTTGTTATAAAAAAATTAGGAATATTTGCAGATTTATCCTCATCAAAATGCTTACATAAAATGCTTGGAACTAATACGAAACTGAATACGTATGATAGGTACATGTATACCTTATTTATAAATAAGATTTTTCACCCAAATTTATTTTATAAATACAATAATAAGGATAATGGTTTTATTTATACTGTAACGAGGGACTTACTTACCGGGAAATTTTTTTCCGTTTACCATATGTGGTGAAGATAAAAGTATCATCACAGATTATAATTATATATATATTATATATTTATTACATTAATTAATATTATTCATATAATGTGTGGTATCATGTTCTTTAGTAAAAATAAATATATTTTAAATATTAAATAAACTAATTGTTAATTAAGAAAATAAAGATTTTACAATAAAAATAAAAGAGTTGACTGATAAATTGTGTCAGTCGAATAAAAAGATTTGTCATTATTGTAACCAGATAATGCAATTAAAAAATGATTTACAAATGACACATAATGTTAGGATATTTACCTAGGTTAGTTATATACATTTATTTTATTTATTTTTATAAACCACAGGCATTGTCTAAAGAAATCGGAGACTCCACTATTATGCAAGCAGTTTTATCTGGCACGGCTTCTTCAAATTTTAGAGGATGTGCATAAAAAGTACTGATGTTACAGCAAAAAGTGAATAAATTACAACAAAAACTAAACAAAGCTCAATAATAACCTAATGACTCAAAAAACCAAGATTCTTAATTTTCTATTAACAATATATATTATTGTTACAAATATTTACAGTTTTTTATTATTAATATACTAACTACAATAGGTGTTTTGTAATTATCAGACAAATGGAGAAAGCACGTAAATGGATTTCTGACAAAGCATTAAAGATTACATCTAATGACTTGGTCAACTCATTAACTTTTGACTGAGTGTCCTTTAATGCTTTGTCTGTAATCTCTTTGCGTGCTTTCTACATTTGTCTTATAATTACAAAACACTTATCGTAGTTAGTATATTAATTATAAAAAACTGTATATATTTGTAACAATAATATATATTGTTAATAGAAAATTATGTAGGTACCATTTGAGTGTTTAACATCTTGTTTTATTGAGTCATTAGATTCTCCTCGAACTTTGTTTAATTTCTCTTGTAATTCGTTCACTTTTCGCTGTAATATCAGTATTTGTTGTGCACGTCCTCTAAAAATTTGAAAGGACACTCAGTCAAAAGATAATGAGTTGACCAAGTCATTGGATGTATGGAAAAGTCGTAGCAAAGCATTAGATGTAGAAATGACAGTTTTAAGAGTTCAAATACAAAAATTATTGTCTTACACTGAACTGGACAGTAAAACTATTGAACAATTGAAAGTATTGACTAATACATTTCTATTTATTTTTATCAATCCAATGTAAATCTAATATATAATATTTCGATTGTTTCATTATTTTTAGATAATAATTTTAGAGAAAAACGCGGTAGAACTTAGACCGCGGTACCTGAGCAGGTTGAGTTGGGCGTTGGGGCTCAACGATTTGACGTTGATACCGACCGAATCGGTGAACGCGCCGCCGAACCCGCGGATGGTCTGGTACGTGGTCGCCTCGTCCACGTCGATCTCCTGGCCGACCCACTGCGAGTCGAGCGACGGCGCGAACGACCCGTCGCCGGTCCTTGTCAACCGACTGCCGGCGTTCGACGACACGTAAAGCGCGTACTTGCCGGCGGCCAGCGGTTCCGGTTCCGGCGTCCGGTCGCAGTGCGTCGAGTTGCACACGCACACCGTGCCGTACTTGAACTTCCGAGGCCAGCAGCCGTCAGCCGCCACAGCCGCTGCAAGAGATCAGAAACCGGTCACGATCGCCCGACACGATGTCGTTGTGCCAGCCAGGGCTTATTTTAAGGTGTTTTTTTTTTTTTTTTTTTTTTTTGTTAGAAATGCGCAAAACTTACAACTCGACCTGCCGCCCATACTATCGAAAATATTCCTCCCCGTGTACGATTGTAAACCCCGCAAGATAATAATAATCAGGGCTCATAACCTGCAGCATTTACATATTTCTTTTGAGAGGTCCTGGATATACTAATGTGAGCTACACATTTGTTTTGAATAGCTAACAAGTTAAATACGAAATTTTATGTTTCATATTTTTGCATACTTCAAAGTATAAGTGCTATTTTGATTTTTTTCTGTTTTGCAGACTTATTCTTGCATGTTTAGAAAATTGTTATTTGCTATTTTGCTTTTTTAAGTCTTTTTCAGTTCTGTAACGTTCAAAACATTTTTTCTTAACAAGTAATTATAATAGTATTAAATTTTATATTTGTAATTTAAGTAATTCGTGTTAATTAACTAATTCTTCTTTTGGTTTAAATTATAAATTGATTTGTATCATATAGCGACGCGATCAGAATTTTAATAATAAAAGTTTAAATTTTTTTTTTCTACATGATATGTTTTTTTTTAAAAATAAATGAAAATTGTTTATTTTTCATGTTATATTTATTTTTGCATATTTTTGTATTCTTAGTGCATATTTAAGCGCTTATATGAATATTTTTAAGAGCATATTATAGAGCTTATAACTACTTTTGAGCTATAAGTTATGAGCCCTGATAATAATAATAATAATAATAATAAAAGTCTTAAAAACCTAATCTGATGGTTGACGGACCCTCTACCTGCACTCGGCCATGAAATCGAAAACCACAATTTATTATTGTGAGAAATTTTATTTATAGATAGTATTTACAACTGCGCATTTTTTCAATTAGAACTGCGCAAAATGTGTTCAAACCCACGTTAAAATAAGCCCTGGTGCCAGCGTCGTTTATCTTAGTGACGGATCGGCACTCTTCCGACTCCTCATGGCCCTTCCCCTCCTCAATATTCGTTTTTTTAACCATCTGAGCAAACGGCTAAAGCTGAGCATTGGGCGGTTGAAATGTTCAAGTCAGATGCCGAATTATTTATTGTTCTGATTTAAAAAATCATTTATTTATTTTGTACCAATTATTGTTTATAATAAAATCCAAGTTAAAATTGCTCATGTGATCAAAAATACATAAATATATTATAAATATTTAATAAACGTTTTTTTTTCCGTTTAATTCGAAACCTGTAAGTTAATAAGAAGTATTATTACCGAATATTTTTGTAAGTAAAAACATGTTCATGTTGAAATTAAAAAAATGCCTTCGAATGTAATTTTAGACTTAAAACAATAATTACATAAATTGTTTACAATAATTGTTGGGAAGGAACTTTATAAACAGTTTTCAAAATATTTATTCGCAAAAAATTTATAATGCGTTATAATAATACGTATAAAAATAATAATGTATTCAGTAGTTATTTCATGAATCCAACAATTTATTTTTATTTCAATTACAGAGGATGAGAGTAGAAAGATGCAATCCTTATACAAATCCTTATAATACAAAATAAATTATTGATTATTTATTATTCGTTTAAAAACTGTTGGTATTAATAAAAATATGAAGGGGGTTATAATGTATATGCGAATCATTATGTTAAGTTGATTTTGCTTTCCTATGTTTTCTTCTATAACACCACTGGGAAAACAACAATTTTATAAAATGTGTATAATCTATATTATCACAATATGATATATAAATATTATACAATATAGGATTTAATCACAACTGGCAAAGACGTAAATAAGCGTAAATAAATATTTTTTTTCGTTATATAACATAATAATTATTAATTTTATTACCATTTAATTCCATCACTGCCACGATACACAATATCCATTTAAGTAGAGTATGTTTAGCCTGTAACATAAAATGTAATTTGTTTGTTAGCAAGAAGAAATTTGATAAGTTTATTAGCTTAAACACAATAGAACTGGTTTTATAGAATATAATCACAACTTTAGATCTCAATTATCGAATTACGAGTAGTCTTATATCAAGTTGAGATTGACGTATCATTTTTTCGTCATTTTTCGTCATTCCCTCGAATGTGTCACACGAATGTCTACCCATTTTTTTAAACCAATTGAAATTGAGTATTATTTTATATATAGTATTTATAATCCAGTATACATTTTGAAGTAATAGCCAAAGCACTGACTATATGAAAATATTTTTATAGCTTAAGCGTGTTAGTTTTAAAGGAAAATCATAAAACTTTTTAGTTTTGGATTATGATTAATCTAACGCGTTTTCTAAAATACATTGAAAATTATTGCTGTTGACCATGATAAATGATAAACTCATTATATCTTATAATAATGATAATAATAATATATATTTATTTTGTAACATCAAAGTAAATTTTTACAATTTATTTTAAGTTCTACAATTAATGCGGATTCTATAGTTTGATTTTATCTTATCATTAGATAATATATTTTATTTGAGAATACATATCGATTATATTATAAATTAATATCGTTGGAAATATTGTAAATCAAATTTTGAAGTGACAAATTTTATAGGAAACAAAAATATCATGTGTTTCAATGTACCAACCATTTAATTCATCCAAATTATTATGTATTTTGTTTTTTAAATAGATATACTTTAAAAATTCAATCTTATAATTTTATTTTACAAACATATAAAAAACCATGCAATTTTTTAGTCATAATAAATGTTCTGATGTTCTATTAATAATATAAAACAATAAAAATGTACTGTATTACATTAAAACCATATGTAGCCATTAAGATATTATTAATTTATTAATAATATAAAATTTATATAGTTAATTGTTATGTATAACTTAAGCTTACTATTGTTCGAAAAATGAAGAAAAATCTCTCGAGAAATCTGAACACTAAATTATTATTTATGAGATATATCAAGACAATAAGAGTACATAGAATAAGAGCAGTGGCGTAGTATCATAGAACAAAGTGGAACAGTGCTCCAGGGGCCCAAAGCACAAGGGGTTTTGAACATTTAAGGAGACTATACCTACTTCCTTAAAATAATTAATAATTAAATAAATGTTGATGATTTAACAGTAAATTCCTAAATCATACGTTGTAATTCCAGTTACAATAAGTATTAAAGTTGAATAATAATTCATTCATTATGCAATATGTTTTAAATAGTTATAAACTCAATTTCTATTAAATATATAGATATTAACTATACATAGATGTCTAAATTGTTTTAATTTATCGTTTCATACTAAATATTCAATTTTTTTAAAAAAAAAAACTATTACTTAAATTTTCATACAAAGATATTATATAATAGGGATCCTAGTTTATTAACTGCACCAGGGCCCTGTCCTGTGTAGTTACGCCACTGATTAAGAGTAACGAATTTCAAAACATTTCCTGTACCTACGTTTATTAAGAAAAACCGAGCATTCCAATAGTATATTAAATAAAAAATATGTATTAAATTAATTAATATTTATTATTTGTTTGCATATTATTATAACAAATAGTTGATGAAAAAAGAAATGGACTACAGTTGCAATACAATTGATAAGCGATGGCGAACTGTATCGGATATTTACGTTTTTACTTCAATTAAACATTAAGTAATAAATATACATATATTAGTATTGCACATTCAATAAATCAAATAAAAGGTCAATATAGAATCAGCTCGATCGTACTCCATGAATAATGATGTACTTAAATCGAAGAATATTTATGTTTTTAAAAGTTTATTATAATTGATTTTTTTAGTTCTCTAGCATAAGCATAATCCGCTACTTATTTAAAAGCAACGCATGTCTTAATAAAATCGAATGTATGTCAACGTAACATTTTAATTAGGTTTTTATTGGATTTGTTGAAACATAGCGTTAGTTTGAAAATACCTAAGTGTTTATATACCCGAACGAAAAGTATTCACTACAAAACTTGTTTGGGAACAATAATATTTTAAACATACCGCTGAGTTATCAAAATATGTAATAAAATGTATTATTATTTCACACAAATAACATTGTGTGGGTAATGTGATCTGACGTTGATCCATCAATGACTTGAACACATATCGTTTTCTTAGTATTTTACACACAATGCACAAATAAAATGCTGACTTAGGAACATGGCTGCATAACAATATATTATATTGTGTACCATGATAATATAAGATATATATATATATAATGTTCAGAGTTCTCGTTCAACATACATAATTGTGATATATAAGTTCTTACAAGTTACGTTTAAATTAATATAAACATTTGTTTTCATAACTCTACTAAAATGTTTACAAACCCGTCGAACGAGAAAAATATTTTATTGTATGTTAGATTAACATTCGAGTATTATGAATATCTGTTTTCAATGTGCATTTAAAGGTGTGTTTTATCAAATGATAAAATTAGATGATATCTGAGATGTCAATATATCATTAAATGATTTAAAAACAAAAACTGTAGCAATAAGATAAATTACGTGTTATGGTACATATTGTTCCCAAAAAATTAAAAATATATATATATATATATATTTAAATTAGTTTAATTAACGGTTAAAAAGTCAGAAAAACTTATATTTATGAAAAAAAAAGTCTAGTCTACAATAACATGCGGGCGGTCATGTATGTAAGCTATGAGTAGGTATAAAGGTAACGCAATATGCAGGAAAATAATTTCAAAATTAACCCTTGCAGGCGCATCGGAACATGCGTTACTACGATTCATCGCTAGTTACTATAAATATTTAGTTCTTAAAGTCTTTTTATTTGCCCATAACTAAGAATTAATAAAAAAAAAAAATGATTACCCTGAAGATATGTATTCATTATGCTTATTATTGTTATCTAATCTTAACATATTGCACACTTATTATAACATATTGTTGATATTATTGGCGATTTATCTCTTATGGAGCTCGTTACGTACGTACGTTCATTGCTATGGGTAATCTTTGGTTTTCGACCAAATCAATAAAATGTTACATCAATATTGGTAAATAATTATTATTATTTCTGAGTCTTGTTGATAACACACATTGAAAATATGTCTAATTCTGTACTCAATCATGTGTATTAATACCTGGATTCTCATATAGTATTTGATGAATGTTACATTTAAAGCCTTTAAATCGTGTTGGTCTCGGTGTCATTTAAGATGAGGGTCCGCATAATTTATCAAACCTAAACCGAATTTCGTGACTACGAATAAACAATCATTAAAATATAATTGTGGACTCGGTTTAGTTGGATAAAATTCCTATAAAACGCGTTAGGCCGCGCCCTGCACATTGAATGCGTTTTCGAACGAATTTGATTCGTGTGAACTTGTACGTACACGCACGAACGGTCCTGGCCTACCAAATATTATGCGAGCGCTCAGAAAGGGTGCGAGGTGTTCGTACGTATACGTACGTGTAGCTCCGACATGCGAAAACAATCCGAACTTGTCCGGATTTCATTAACGTCCGTACGTCGGAAATGGATTATCCATTGCGTGCCAGGATGTCACAAATGCGATATCACCGAAACACTGACTATTTGACGGACAAAAACGTGTTCAGTTTGCGCACCCAATTCGTACGATCAGTATTCGAACCTTTTTGGTACGAAATGAATTCGTATCCAATGTACGCCCTACTAAACCGAGATAAAAACTTAGAATAAATACATCGCAATGCAACTAAGCATATGATATCTTAATATCTGCTATCCGACTTGTTCACTCAACACTTGAGAATAATTTTGGATCAATACGTTTTACGGAGATTTATCACGCGTGATCATGTAGAATTCACGGACATTAGTGGTGTGGCAAACGCACATAGAAAAGAATCAACAGTGTTTTTCGATTGACGACGTATCGTTTATAACATTTACCATCAATACACCACAACGGTTGATCGGCTAATTTTACCTAAAAACACCCAATTGTAGGTACCCTGCACCTCCTACGTCTCCAAACGAAATATTAAATATCGCCGAGTTGCGGCTGAAACGTCAGACGCGTACCTAGATCGCGACTTCTTTGCGATGACGACGTGTTCACCGTCCGTCGAGCGTTGGAAACGTTTTCTTGAAGAAATAGGATCAAAGTCACCGGGCCAAGGCCGTAGGTGCGTCGTACGCGTGCGGCAAATGTGACGCGAGAGAAGGAAAACGAAAGAAGCGATTTTCGTAGCGAAAGCAATAGGTATCAGTCCGTCGCACCGTCGAACCGTTGTCGGTGAGAATCGAAATCCGTATCCTTTCACTGCTGTTCACACCTGTTCACACCTGTCGCGCTATTGCGTCTACAGTTGATTTACGTACGCGATCGGTCGGTCGCATGGTAATCGCTCTACGGAATATCGGTGCGAATATTATTGGCTGCCAATTGACGCGTATTGTTAATTAAAAAAAAAAAAAAAACCTTTCGTCGATTTCACTCGACGGTTTCGCATGCGTCCAACACCGTTCAACAACAGCCGGGACATAGGCGCAACTAGGGGGGCGCCAAAAGGGTTTTTAGCACCCCTGAGCTCCTAATGTAGCACTCCTGTCTATTTTCTTCAGATCTATATAATCATTGGTGATTACGGTTAAATATAATTTTATTTTATTTTCAGCGATTTCAGCACACGGTTGGGCTCTAGTTGCGCCCATGGCCGCGGAGTAATAATGAATCCGCGTTCCGGTGTACTTACCATTTCGCCCGGGTCGGTGATCGCGTTCGGTCCGCAACTGTCTCCGCACGCGTTCGTCAACCGCCAGTGCATCACATCCGTTCGGCGGACATGCCGTGTTACGAAAACGACGTCGCTTCTAATCCGTTTGGGTTTCGCACCGTCCCGGAACGGTCGGGCTTCGTTGCTCGTCGTCGGCTACGCGACATCAGCCGATCGTCCGGTGCAAAACACCCGCGGGTGGGGGGCACTGGTCGTCGTCGTTATTATTATTATTATTGTCGCCTACACGTATTTTTCCATCCGCACGTGCACGCTGCGAACTCCTATGCACGTCGAATTTCACCGAAGCGACGTTACACTGTTCTATACCGTATACCGTTGCGGTCCGTACAATGATTCAACGTTAAGGGTGTTAAAAAAAAAAAAAAAAAATTTAAATTAAATTAAAAATAATTTTTAAAAAACAGTTCGACATGAATAATCTATGTGCGATCGATGTTATGCGCGTCCTTAACACGACTAAGAAATTGATCGACTGCACAGCGCAACAGTCGCTATCGGGGTTACCTTTGCACTGGCTCCGTTGTACGCTCGTCAAACGAGATAAACCGGAATGCGCGCGCTCGCACGTGTGTATTGTATTTATTATTTAAAACAATAACTTATCGTCTAGTTACACACGATGTACTACTTTACACGTACTGCAAACGTACAGACCATCGTTTTTGGTTCATTTCGAAACGGTTTTCGTTTAATTAGTGCCACGTACGCAAATCGTTTTCTTATGTGTTGAAAAATAACTAAAAAACTGCATTTGAACCGATTATAAATCGACATTTCGTCTCGCTGATTGATCGTTGGTTGATCTTTTTAGACGTTTTTTAGAGGACTAATAATAATGAACTGCGATCGAAAACGATGTTACATATAAGCGCCAAGCAGTCAATATGGACAAGTTGCAATCCGGTTTTGGGTCTATATTACCATCAATATTTAAAATAATGTTGAGAAATATGTAAATTGTGAAATTTAAAATTATTCGATTTGATTCCACTACTTTCAGAATTATTGAGAAATTTATTTATTTATTTTTTACTTTGTATGCCTATCTCTAAGTGGCCTTGGGCCATAAAAATAAATCATTATTATTATTTTCATTTATGGTACCAACTAAAAATACCTTAAACTTACGAACCAATAATGAGGTATATATTTTTATAATTTTTTAGACATCAATTATAAAAATATCATACATTTAAGATGAATAAGTTCATGATATCCGTATTCAGTTCTAAGAATTATTTCGCAGATTTTTAAGCTTACGGTGTGTCGATAATAACATAAAAAAATAAGAATTTATGAACCAGAAAGACATGAATATGGGCACAAGAAAAATAGAGTTTGCTATAATTTAAAAAGTACTAAGATTGAAACGAAAGATTAAAATTTCATTTTATTCAGACACATTATTCAATATTATTTTGAATATTGAAAATAAAATGAATTCAAAACTGGTTTGCGGGTTGTCTACTCTAAACAAATAAGTGCACTACATTGATGTTTGAATATGATTTATTGAATTTTTTTCATTTCAATATTACACACCACGTTGACAAATCAATCCACCAAATATTTTTGATATTTCCATCTCACTCGAAGTATGCTCCAGTATTACTTTGATGTTATACATTTACATTTTATCTATTACGCGATGAACCGCGAAGAAAGGTCGCAGTGTTTAATATTAATGAGTAACACAAGAGCACAATGGATTTCTTGGTGGAAACGATAGTGTTCACTGAGTTCACCAAATTTTGCATTTTTCCGACGGATTCATCGGCGATCCTACCGGACAATGGAAAGCCTCGGCGAACTCGACGGAATTGGACAAGGTACCCAACACTCGTATTCGACCAGGGCTGTGCACGTCGGTCAACAGGTCGTTAAGCAGCGTCTGTTCAGTGGTCGATTCGCACCAGATCTGCAAAACATGCCTAACCGTTCGTAAGAATTCGAAAATCACTTTTGGATGGAAACTTACACTAGCGAATCCCACGAAAAACAACTGTTCCGGTGACAATTCCTCCAGTCCGGGTAGCCTTTGTTCGGTCCCATGATTTGATATGTACTTCTGATATGCAATGAAAGCGTGAGTTAAACCGCCTGTGTCTGCGATGTTTTCGTTTTGAGTCATTTGACCGTTTATCTAAAGAAAACATTTGATCGTTTTTCACAATTTTTTAGTTGTAGTACCACGTAGGTAAGCATAGTCTGTAAGTTATAGTCCAAGTGGAAAAATTTGCCATTCTTAACACTGCTCGGCCAATGTATACAATGCATGGAATACTAAAGCAATATAAATTATTAATATTTTTTTCCCAACACGGGTTAGCCATCGTTATACTATTTTTCTTTATGAAATATTAATAAATTTAATTAAATAAAATATAATTATAATTTCTAAATAGTTATAACTTAAATTTAATATGGTTCTGCCAAAATATGAAAAATGATATAATTTTATCCAAATTTACGTAGAAATTCGTTATCATTAGTATCAACGCGACACATTCAAGTTATTATTTTCTATGGCTGTTTATAAATTATCTAGGAATTAATTACATTTTAATTAGATGTGGTAACTGGTTATTGATTGTATCGATGAATTTAAATGATTTTGATGGGTTGCGATTTGGAAAACTTTAATTACCAATATTTTTCATACTCGGTGTGCATTTTTATCATATTCGTTTATTATTGTGATTATTGTGGGGCCTCTGAATTAATTGGCCCCCAGTCTTAAGAATCCTTAGGACGGCTCTGGATACAGAGTACAAATATATAAAATTACATGTATACCATAAATGTTTATTATTATCAAGTTCAGCTTATTAAACATTTTGTACACTTGGCACAACCAGTACTGGTTATTGTACACAATGTTCAGTCTATTTTCTATGCATATAAAAAATCCTATATATTTTCAAACTTCACACGCAAATAAAATCAAATTCAAGACATTAATGGTACTTGTTGTACAAAAATTGAACGAATTGGAGAAATTCAAAATAAAATACAAACAAAAACGTTTCTCTTCATTGGTCAAGTTAATTTCACTATAAAGAAGAAAAGTTAAGTAGCTATGAATTTTTAATAAATATAATAGTGTTTGTGAATAGATAAAAAGATCAAAATCGTGTCTTAAAGAGAACATATTTGTACGTAACTCGGTTCGAAATTATTTTCTTATAATATATATTTACGAGGTTATATAAGGGTATTCAAGTCCAAATATGTAGGTACATCATAGAAATTTTCCATGTCGTTAATCGAATAATCATAATAATGAAGTTACCAACCTCATTACTATTCGTTCGCAATGCACACGTTTTGTCGTCTGATTTGCGTCTTTGTCTCATTTGTTGTAAATAATGAATAATAATATGTGTAATTATGATTTGTCTAATTCATTTTGAAAAATCATACCTTAACCAGATTACCTAGCAAGGTCATGTTATATCTATTGTACTGTTTGACAAAACATTCCGCTCTCTCGGAAAATGTTTGCATCGTTTCTTTCGTCCACCACTGATGCCTGTTGCCGTGTTTATCGTACATTCTACCTAATGGACAAAACGATCGCTGTATTCACTGCAAATTAATTTTTGGAAATAAACGCCTAACCTGAATCGTCGAACGCGTGCATTATCTCGTGGCCGACGACCAAGCCCACCATTCCATAGTTCAAAGCCCTGCAAGGGTAACATGCTTATCTGTATCACATGTGTTCGTACATATGCGCACGACTAAATTATCATTTATTACTAATTTTATGTTTATTATCAACTCACTGAATTCGACTCTTTTGGTAAAACGGAAGTTGTAACATTCCTGCTGGTAAAACTGCAAACGAACAGAGTAGGTTTGTTAAAATTATCGTGCCCAAAAATATACTTAAATTTTCTATATAAACACGTTTGAGGGACGTGAATGTGTTGGAATCAGTAATAAATGCCGTTTATACCATTTTAATCATGTAGTTTAAGTACAATTGATATACGGTCGCTAAAATGATTATTATAAGTTTATTTTTATTATAAGTTACTATACATAATATCATTATTTAAATAGATTGAAAAAAAAAGTCTAAAAACTTATTATAGAGTAAAATTTAAATGATTTCAGCCACTTAAGTCAACTATTTCTATATATATTCAATATATTATATATATATTTGTATATATGTATTATTAGTTATTATACTTACTATAGTTATTATTAAAATGGGTTTGTAGTTATAATTACTGAGCTGTATGATTTACATAATTTTTATATTGATTTAAATTATTCAATTAACTATTCAAATTGTTGTTCAGATGCTTTTATATTTAAGTACTACCTGAATTCAACGTAATAATATTTTTAAATAATTTTACCTATCGCATTTGAATATACATCGTTGTATCCATTTACACTAACTATGTCCATGGTCCATCTATAAAATAAATATAATTGTTATTATATTCTATTAAAAATGAATAAAAAAATAAAATAAAAATATTTTCAAAATCTAATTATAGTTAAAATAAATTTATTTTTAAAGAACTTACTCCGTGTGATTATGATTTCTATTTAATTTTGAAAGTTTTTTCAAGTTTGATGAAGCTTGTAAGATTTCTAAATTCATCAAATAATTATCCGTCATATTAATCTAAAAAAAATAATGTATATATATATATATATATATATATATATATATATATATTAATTTATATAAATAACAGGATATAGAATGCGAATATTGTTCACTTATTTGTCCTTAAATGTGTGTAATCCGTAAAAATAATATAAAATCAGATTATACCAGATTATAACCATCACCAATCGATGCTGAGAATCACACATAATTTAATATCATTTAATGCTCACAATTTTCAGTTTATTATGTAAGTACGAAGTGTTCTGGAACCAATCGGGATACGCAATAAACTTGTGCATCGATTGTAGTTTATCGATAGCAGACTGACGAGTTATCGAATCCATCCATACCACGTTCTTCAACTGCTCCAAGTAAGCTTCTTGTATATTTTTTACCATTTCTGTAGCCTGAATGTTAACAATGATTACACTTTAAAACGGCGCTATATTATATGAATATTCTACAACTTATTCCGCACCGATCGTACTTCATTAAATTAAAACATCATCATTTTTTACTTAAGTGTCAATAAATTAATTTTTATCTACGAGACGTAATAAAAAAAGCAATAGCAGTCAAATTTTGTCAGCATTTTTTACTTACCATATCTTTTGTGGACTCGTCGAAGTACTTGGAAACGTACTTATATCCAATGTTAAATGCAAAATATGAACTCGTCATCGATGTGCAATCCACCCATCTAAAAATTGCAATAGTTTTAATTGAGGACTATGCCGTATTCACTAAAACAAAATGCATTTTCATTGAACAAATAGTGGTAGTGATTTTTGGGTAAAATTATTAATTAGGAAATTCACGGGTTCCAATAATGTACGGTATTGATTATGTTATAATAAAATATGTAAAAGTTTTGTAAATAGATAACATATAATTTTTTTCTAAATTACAAGTCATTGGGTGTATTATTTATTTACTAGATGTTTTAGATTTTTGACTTTTAATAGAATAAACAGCGTAATAATAAGCTTTTATGAAAAAAAAAAAAAAAAAATTCAATTAGAGGTACTAATCGCAGCTGTATAAAAATGATCTCAAATATTTTTCTTCCGATCACAAATTAACTCAACACTTTGTATTTTATTAGCTTTAAAATCCGACTTAACATAATGTTTCAATTACCTGGAAACTTCTTTCACGTCTCCAGTGAATACCACGTTAAAGTTTTGAACGAGATTTTTCAAGTCTTCCCTGATGTCGGATAGCATGGATCTTAAAAAGCACCATGACATATAATTAACTATGACGAAAAAAAAAAATTAATAACAACTTCAATATAAGGCGATTTATGTACCTAGTACGCAGATAAATATAATACAACTTACGTATAATTCTTTTCGGAGTTTTTCGCAACATCTGAACGAGTTCTTTTAAATAATTCTCTTCTTTGACAAATATTTTCTCTGTCTTTTTTATGATCACATCAGTGCCTTTAAAGAGTAACCGAAACATTTTCAACCAATCAATCTGTTCAAATGCGATAAAGATACATTTACACCGCGAACAGTCAAAAAATTTGAAAACATTATTATTTTCACCTGAAACACATCCGATGATACACTGTCGATGTCTTTTTGAAGTTCGTCTATTGTCATTACTCGGTTTTTCAATGCTTTTTCGCTTTTCTTCATCTCTCCAGTGCTCTGTATCTGTATTGTAAACGGCGAACGATAACAACAATGAAATAAATGTTTACATTTACTTTTCACTAATGTATAAATGTACATACATTAGCTAATTGTGTTTCAAAATTGATTATTTCGTCAGCGATCTCGTCCCCGAAATGTTTTGGCCGTATCGACTCAAATCCAAAGTCTTTGTACACTAGTAGTACGGTGCCAGCGATAAGCTTCGAATAGGCATTCATTTGAGTCTTATACCGATCCGGGTTAATGAACATCGATCTCGGTATCATCAAATCGGGTTGACCTATCTATATGGCCATGCGAACAGTCGACAGTGGCAGTTAAAATGTTAGTAACAAGACGCTATGTCTACACGCGTGCGCACACTTACCATCAATATGTATTGACTGGTGTTCATGTAGTTGATCGATATACCTGTATCCAAAATGGTTGGTACTTTCCAGTTTTTCTCCATGTAAATGTACATTTTTATCCAGTCCAAAGACTGTAACTTATCGCTGTGATCGTACTTTCCGATGGGCCATCCGCCGAACATTGACATAACTGATTTCAGATATTCTGTATTCATTCCGTTGGTCACTTAAACAATTATTATTCATTCTATTAGTGGATATGATCGAAATTAACGTGTAGTTAAAGATTTGAGTTTTACCGGAATTCAAACAACTCTTGTAAAACTTCTGCGCCGGATATAAAATTTCATCAAAACTTGAATCTTCTAAAATGTCTAAGACGATAAAACATTAATTAACGGTATTAGATTTTTTCAACGTTCGAAAATACCATATGGCAATAAAAAATAAGAAATCGAAAATATTTTTTATGTTTAACAGATATCAAGTTCAAGAAAATTAAGTAAAGTGATCATGAGTACAGATGCATAAAATGAATGCGTACAAGTTAAGCAAGAGCATTAAAAATCATTTTAAACGTTGTCATTGATTTTAAATTGATTATAAAACAAATTAAAGTATATTTAAATACACAAACAAAACATTAATAGATTCCTTGGACAGACTAATAAAGTATTTATTTTTTTAATGCTTACCCTTCAAATTGTTATTTATAGTTTTTTCTGCTTCTTTATATTGATACCAAGACATTTTGGTCGCTTTGACTTGGTGATCTTTTACCCATAAGCCACATGTATATTCGTAGAAATCTTCACAAGGATTCACAGATCTATTCATACTCTTCAACAAATATTCTATAGCACGGGAAATAAATTGCAAAGTATGCGTTTGTTAAAACTTGCAAAAATAATAGATCATTATTCAATTTCAATTGAACTCAGTTAACATTAAAATTAAAATTAATTATGTATGAATGGCGTTATTGATTTTTGTTAATCATTAATACAAGTAAATAATTTGATAATAACTATGTGGTTAACGTCTAAGCTCCTAATTTTTATTATAGATTATATAACTATAGAACATGTTGATTTTTGAATAAGATAGTTAATAATTTACTTGCACTTCACGAAACCTAGAAACTTCTTTACAGATGTCATACCGATTAATGCTTATATACAATTTAGATAAATTTACCTGCCGTTTGACATTCCATTGTTGTGCATTTTTTTTCTTCGATACGGTAGCCGGGGGAAAATACTTCTCTTAAAAAATCATTTGCCGATCGACAGTGCAATCTTCTGAACACGAGGAAAATTAAAATTGAAAAAATTATTGGTTTCATTTTTGCTAGTATTTGTACTTCAGTGGTTCTATTAATTAACTTTCATCCATAACTGCGGCATTCCGTTTTACCAATGAAACAAGTGGGTGTATATTAACAGGAAATTGATGTTGATATAACTTGGTAGGACAATGTTCTGCGACTACATATACATATATTTCGTAGTAACTATGATAGTGAACATTATTGTTGAAGAGCAACGAACTTTGTTATCATTTATTTACTATACAATAATACATCACCACTCTCATTTATGTAATTTATAATTCCCGTTCAGTTAAAATTGCTGATTTTAATTTATCAAATTGAATTGCACAATAATTTAATGAATTTTCAGTAGCATTACCTAATCGAGCGCACTTGAGTACTCCTCCCCTACATTAAATAATATATGTAAATCACTTGTGGTTGCTATTTAATATAACTTATACGTTTAGTAGGTTTATTTTGTATAACGTATCAAGTATACTCACAAATATTTTATAAAACGGTACGGTTTTTTTTTCTGGAGATATTAATGTTATTGGTAAATGTATTGGTATAAGTCAATGCTTGAAACGGAAAATTTTACAAACCGGAACTCTCATAAAACTAATATGTGGATAATGATATTAATTTTTAATTTTAATGTGTTTATTTAACAATAAAATGTAATTAGTCAAATAGATAATAAATAAAGAATTAAAACAGTTTAAGCCTAAAAAAATGTAATCATACAGTTAAAATAAATTGTTTATAATAATTTTTATAATGTTGCGTATTTTCTGTCATTTTTCACATTTGCGAATTGTAATGTTAGTAACGAATGTCTACCGTTGACTTACTATGAGCGTACATATTTTTAGAACGAAAATTCAATGAATGGAAGGCCGACACAATTAACGAATTAAAATGCAGAAACTGTAATATTATTTAATGAGAATTCATGGGAGGTTCATTCATTGAGCTGATATTTTGCTCACACTCGCTTGTTGATATCGAAATAGTAGCTACGGTTTTAAAAAGTATTTTTAAATCGTCCGGAACATCTTCTTTTCATCCTTCCAATTTGTATACTTAAAACCCCGAAAAATATAATTTGTTTTATTTAATTGAAAGTGGTAACACATGTAGTATATTTTAGCAACTTAAAATTTAATATTTTTGACTTCACAATTTTCGAAAATATTACATTTTCTTAGATTTAGTACGCTAAGACTACCAAGCAAGTCTGTATAATTATATATATATTATAATAGCATTTACAGAAGTGATATTATGCCTTTGCAAATACTCCTATAAGTCTCCTACTTTATTTGAAGCGTCTGCCTTTGCATTATTAATACATATCAACGCTGGAGATAATTAGTTTTATCCCGTTGTATATACCTATTTCTTTCTTTTTAATCCTTTGTTACGTCCGTTAAATTATATTTAAAACTTTCATAAAGAGTCAAACATTTATTTATGACTGAATTTATAGTTCGTTTACTAGATGAAATCCAGTGAACTGACAACATTTTTCCAATTTTTAAAATTAGTTTTTCCAAAGAACTTGCTACTTGCCTTAATTAATTTTGAATTTTTGACGATTGATGATAGAAAGAATATAATTTGTCCATAAATATTTTAAAATTATTTTTCCAGTAACAACAGTTACAACATCAATAACGACAAGCCTCTTGGACTCCTATGAAAATAAGACTTCTGTATTTTACTATATACTTTGTAGAGAGGATATTTGATAATATTAATTATCTTGATTGTGATGCTGTCAGAAACGCCGTACCAAATGAACATTATTTTAAAATACTTTTCACAAACCAGAATTTTTAAATTCTAATTTTAACCAACCCGAACAGATGCAAAAGTTAATATTACTTACCGGAACGCTGTTCCGGTGCGTTCCAATCCATTTTGAGCACTGTATTGGTAGGTAATCAAAGTATTGACTAAGTAGACAATCTAACCTCAAGATATTTGTATGAGCGATAAAAATAAAAAAACGACAAATTTTGGTTTTCACGTATTTATTTAATAAACATTAAATATGCAATTTTCCAAATGATGGAAATTAAAATAAAATTAGCATGCATATCAACCAGTATACAATCATAAATTAATGATCTTTATAATGTCTTAGCGTACGAGACAAAGTGACGCTTTGTTATACAATGAAAACAAAACAAATATTCCGTTTCGAATAATTTCGCTTATATAGGAATGACCTAAGGCACTTAATTATCAAAAGCCTAAACTTGTAGCTTGTTGCATGACAAAATATGTTAATATATAATTTATATTATATATATATGTATATATATTATAATTATATAAATAAATATATATATAGACAAACACACTTGTATATATGTATATATTTATTTATTTATATTTTATACAAACAGACGTAGTTCTCGCACAGATTATGAGCCAAACCAGATAAGAGAATGGGGTGATGACATTAGACTAAGTAATTTTTTTTAAAGGTAAAAAAAAATGTATACAATAATTAATGTTTTACAATATTATTTGGATAATACTGATTTGTTTGTGTTGAAATAATTTAGTTAGTGCAATTCAGTAGTAACAATAAGTAATATTATACTATAACAAATTCAAATTGATTTCCGGACCCAATTCTTTACAACACTGAATATTAGAACTCTGTATAGAATAATTTCTAAATAATTTATAATATGATACTAATATAAAACCAATATACAACATAATACCTATAGTTAATGACATTTTTTTTTCATCTGCAAGTAAACTGCTATAAGTATATTTGAATTCAAATTATATAAGTAATATTAATCATTTTCTAGTACAATCTAATTGATTTATTCAATATCGCCATATATAGACAAAAATATATGTTACTAAACAATAAATAGGCTACTTAAAATAAAACATTTATAATTTAATATTCTTCTATAATTTTTATCACCCTAGGCTTATGCCTAAATTGTGCTAGGAAGTTATTTTTCAATTCACAATTTATAGCTTCATAAGTTCTTAAGATTTAACTTTCGTAAATTTTGAACAAAAATCTCGACCACTCTACGTTGTTATTAATATTATTACTATTTAGAAATTCAGACTAATAATATGTAATTTAAAGCAGTTAAATGTGTAATGAAAAAAATAACAAGACATTTTTTTTTATCTTCAAACAAATCAAAACGTAAATTAAGTGAGGACGAATTAATTTTCAAACAATACATTTATACATTTGAAAACATATAATGTTTATTCTAAAAATTAAATATTTTATATCGTAAAAAATATCCATGGTAATATTGTTTTTGAAAAAATATTGTTTAGTAAAAACACTAATAACTTGGAATACCCTAAACCAATATTATCAAATGTTTTATAACAAATTAAATTTCTATAACAACACAACAGTAATATCCAGGCAGCCTCATGCTAAACGTATATAAATATCACCCAAACAATTTATGCTAATAATTTTTTTTTTTCAATTTTTATACATTTTTTCTACGTATTATTCATGTTAAACTAAAACTGCAATATCATATTTTTTAAGTATAAGCACCAAATTCAGACAGTACCGTTGTTATCGGCTACTATAATTACATCTTAGACATTAATAATTATTATGATAAATATTACAGGCTATATATTCTAAATCATGTATGGTATCGGATTAATTATGTTTTTGGAAAATCTAAATAAAATAAATATGTAACTAGTAATGTTATGTATGGTTAAATATGTATGGCTTCATTATAGGTTGTGAAGTAAATAGTAGTTGAGCGTAATTGAGATTGCTAGTGTATTAAATTATGTTCAATTAAATCTCAATACAATATATTAGGTATTTGGTTTTCGTTCGAATGACTATTGACGGAACCGCATGTTACACACAACCCCAGCCTTCCATTCGTGTAAAAATTGCCATGTACACAAAAAATGTTCGTACAATAATAATAATAATCTGATATTTTGCTCGATTAGTAACGAATTCGAAAGACCGATGTTGCGCTGTCCAGTTGTAGTAAGCAGACCGTTTTTTTTTTATTTTTTTTTGATTATTCCGAAATTAAAATCGTTAAAATAAGTCTCCGATTAACATTACAAAAATAACAGTGTTAAGCATTATATTATTATTGACTTGGTTGTAAAACGTTTTGTTCCTTGTTATAGGTTAGACCAGAGACACTGCACCCATCCGTATCCATTTTAACATGCAAACAAACGATAACAATATTCATTATATTAGTATATATTTTTAAATTTTTATGCCACTTTAAAACTTGATTGTTAACGATAAAAATATTTTATTTAAATGATAACGATTAACAAATTGTATAGTGAACTTATTAACAAATATTACTCCTGAAGAGGAGATCCAAAAAGCAGTCTCATAATTACACCAAATATCCATGGTTTATAAAAACGAAAAGAAAAATTTGCATCTGCAGACGAACAATGTATGAAACGACCGAAAAAGAAAAAAACCATCGGAACGTGCGATTCGAATGCAAATTTTTCTTTTCTTATAGCATTGAAAACTAAACTTAGCATGAGATATATGAAAAAAAAAACCTTTCAAAGAACAGATGAATTTATAAACTTGTAATTTATGCTTGAGGAACTGTACACAGTGGGGCCACCTGGTTTCGGTCAAAGGACGGTCAGCCATTGTACGCGATTTTCTCGTGCCCGGTCAGTATAGCATCCTTATTATAATAATATGGTATTGTTTATTTTAGTTTATTTAATTTTTTTTTTTTTTTTGTACAAGTGTATTTGATGATCGCAAATAATTACAATATTATTATGTGTGTATATATATATATATATATATGTTTCAGATATATAGTTATAATATTTATAATGTTGTATGTAACACCTTGTCTCCAGATTAATATATATGTATATATATATATATATATAAATCGCATTATCATTCGTTATTATGATGATCTGTCGTTATCATATCGCGTAAATTATTGAGTTAGACAACATATGCCACTGGACACCAGCCCGCCGGCCTGTCGCTGATCGTGAGGCAATGCACCGGCAACCCTTGACCCTACCTCACTACGAGACAGCGCAGGGTAAGGGTTGCCTTGCACGTTTTTTGGACTGGCGGTGGACGTTGTGACCATGGAGTGTTCCTCGAAGTCGTCGTACTCGCTGAGCTCGCCCTCGTCGGTGCATGACGAGTCGTCCAAGCACGGGGCCAGCATCAAGCCACCCTGGTCGTTCAGCCACTTGGTCACGGCCTCGGTGATCGGGCCTGGGGTCGCGGCGGCGGACGGCGAGGCGGACGCGCCGCATTCACGCGACGCGGAACAGGACAACGCGGCATCCTGCTGCTGTTTGGCCGGCTCGTCCTGCCGTAGTAGCACCGTCTCGTTCTCCGTGTCCGAGTTTCCGGTGTTGACGGCCGTGGCGAATGTCTCCTCCTCCGCGGACTCGCAAGAGTCGACCGAATGCGTTTTCGCGAACTGGAACTGCACGTGATCGGTGGTCGTTGACCGGGGCGTGCACTCGAGCGAACAGAACACCTCCTCCTGCGTCCACTCCGCGTCCACCGGCCCGATGGACAGCTGTATGATATCCTCGGACATACCGCCGTCGTCCGCCGACACCAAATCGGCCGCGGACCGCTCGTCGTCGTCATCGTCATCGTCGTCGTCGTCGGACCTGATCGACAGCGGTGGCGGTGGCGGTGGCGGTGACTTGCACGTTTCCGGTTTATCCGTTTCCGGTTTACCGCCACCGCTTTTAGCCTTCTTTGCGTTCAGTTTCTTAATGATGGCCGGTTCCTTGGCGATCTTCGACGATTTCTTGCTGCCGATCGACACCCCCTCGTGGTGCAGATGGTTGTCGTTCTTCTGCTGATCCACCGCCGTCGTCTTGTTTCCCTGCTTCGTCGTTGCCTTGGTCGACTCGGCGGACCCTTTGTCCCGTCCCTTATTCTTCTTGTTCCGGCTCTTTTTGGACGTCGTTGTCGTCGTCGTCGTCGTCGTCGTCGTCGTTGATGTCGTCGTCATCACCGGGACTGACTCGACGCTTCCGGTTCCGGAAATACCCGCGACGTTTCCAACAACGCTCGACTGCGGCTTCTCGTGTTTGTCGTCCACCCCCGTGGACGAGCCCCCTTTGACCATCACCTCGCTGTTGGGCGAGCTGATGCCCGAGTCCGAGTTCTCCGCGGAATAGCTGGCTGTCGGTTCGCTGTTCTGCAGCTGATGGTCGTCGTCGTCGTCGTCATCGTCGTCGTCCACCACGTCGGCCGGCTGTTCTTCCGGTATCACCTGGTAGCCGATCGGCGCCAACTGCTCCGCGCCGTACTGCGGTATCGGTTGGTAGTACGCGGCCATCGGATGGTGGTCCGCGGCCGGCAGGTGATGGTGGTGCATGAGGATCGGTGCGCTGTGCAGGATCTCGAACGGTTGCGGGCATTCCATGTGGAACGGCGCGGCGGTGTGCGACAGCTGCACGGGTATGACGTTCACTGGCGTCGAGCCGCCGCTGTTGTTGGTCAGCACGCCCGAGTCGGACGTCTTCTCCGAGTCCAGCACCAGATCGCAGCTGGCGCCCGACTGGCTCTTTTGCTCTTCCGAACTCGAGTCTGAGTATTCGTCGGTCATCTGTGAACAAACACGTTGTTTGAAATAGCAGTAATAGTTACGATTCGGATGAGAAAGTGAACGAGAGAGGGTGGGTGGGAGAAATAGAACATGGCAACGAATATAGAACGGACTGAAATTATGTTTAAAATAAACCCCTCCCGAAAATTCATCTGTCTCCTGTTCGTGTTGTTTTACGAAACAAATGCGATGTACCTATATATATATATATATATATATATATATATATATATATGTATCGTGTTATTGTCCTGGTCGTCGTTTGTTATTGATTATTTTAGGTTATTTACACCGATGTGCGCAATACATGTCGGTCGATTCTGTTTCATTAATTTCAAACGTATTTCCTACCATTTCTCCGTACACATAGTTCGTATATACGTACGACGTATCGTATATTCGTAAAGTTTGATCGTGATTTAAAATATAAATAATTGTCATTTGATACCGAAGGCGACGTTCGATGTGTTCGGGATAAAATTAATGTTAGAGTTATTTTTAAACCACATTATTGACCTTTTGCATTCAATTCTTTTGTGTTATCCTAGGCATTGGAATTATGTCGGTGTTTGCCAGAGAAACTAATTCCTCTTTTTCTCTTTTGAAATGTCAATTGTTAAGTGTTATTTCCGCATTACTTTTTACTTATGGAATGTCAATTGGCTTTGGACGATAATATTATATTTGAGGGAATTGGAATATATTATCAGGTACAGCAAATTAAAATATTTTGACACTTGCAGAACCAATAATTACAATTCATCGATTTATGTAACGAACCCGTTTGATATTTTTTTTCATATTATAATTCGATTATTTAGGTAATAATTTTTTTTATTATTGCTTATTTATTTACTGACTAAAGTTTTGACAATTGGGAAGGTTTGGACCCCTCAACCTTCCTTTCCTATGGCACTGACTACGACAATAATTAGATTAAACGCATTTTGTGCATTGAATTAACACTAACTTTTAATTTTTCGTAAAATATATATTTTTCTTAATATAAAAACAACTTACACCTCCTCGCTTTCTGCGTTTCTTTTTCTTACGGCGTTTGCCGTTGGTGTAATCAAAACTGATTGAAGGTGAAGGAGGAGACTGTGGTTGCGGAACTTGAATACTTACACCTGTGAATTAAAAACATATACAAATTTAATAAACATAATAATCATTAAAATAGTTATATCTATTTCAATATTTTTGTTTTTCCTTTGAACTTAGAAACTAAACAGTTACAATTTCCGAAATATAACACGCACTAATAAATATCATATATTTTAATTCCTAACTGCGCAAATTTTCTGATAATTTATTGAACATAATAACATATTTTTTGTTTATTTCACAAAAGCACATACATAATTTACACAAATTAATACACAATAAACATATAAGATAAAAGGCTATACATAACACGATTTACTTGAGTAAGAAGCTACCCATTAGTGACACTTAATTTGCGATATACTTCTTTATCGAGGAAGGATACTCGTGTTTTTAATTGAATTGGTCACAACACTATTTATTTTTGAGTTTGCACTGAGGATTTCCTGAAAGTATGAAGGTTTGAAACTTTTTGATAAGTGGGTCGAGATGTTTGTTCTAGCGAAAACCCGTTGGTAGAATAATTCCACTTAAAGATATAATAGGTTGGTCATCTAGATCTTGGTAATGGGTTAAATTAGAGACAAAGAAGGAAGAATTATTGATTTTTATAAGAGTAATATTCTGAAAAACTTGGATTTCATTAAGGTTCAATTTTCGCTGATCCCCAAAATTATAACCCATATATCTGTATAGACGTTAAAAGAGTTTTGTATACTCGTTTTAGTAGTTTGGTTTTTAAGCTGGTAAATTTATATTTTAACAATAACGTTTTTAATGATCTTGGTCGAGAGTTAAGGATAATTCTTTTACCCTATATATGTTTGAGCCAAGTAATTTTTGGTCTACGATTAAACCTAAATATTGAATGGTATTAATGGGTAGGATAGGAATATTATTGAAACATTTAGACAGTGACCATGTCTAAGAATAAAATTTGTATGAGAATATTTACTTTGATTTACTTTTATGCGTTATTTTTCATATCATTCAGATCGTAGATTTAAATGAGACTATACTCGTAATTTAACAGAGGTCAATTGGGTCGTAATGAATTGAAAAAATTACTTTATTATATAAATAGTCAGAAATTTTGGTGCTTGGAGTTGTGGGCCGATCAGAAGTATATATGTTAAAGAGTATGAGTGAGAGAATAGCTCATTGGGATACACTTGCGATAATTGGAGCTATATCTGAAGTCGAAGAGCCGCAACATATTTAAAAGTAGCGATTCGTTAAGTAAAATGTTAATTAAAAGAAAGAGTGATGTGGGTAAAAATTACCAAAGTTTAAACAGAAGGCTCTCATGCCATATTCGGTCGAAAGTCTGAGATATGTCTAAAAGGACTACTGTGCAGTAACATTTTTTCGAGAGATGTGCTTATAGCATCAATTACTCCATAAGCTTGATACATCGTAGTAAAGCCGAATTATTCGGTTTGAAGTATATATACTTATATATATTGTTTGCGAATATACTTGGAGATAAACATTTAAGAATCAGTCGATCAATTATATGAATATTGTCGAAGCAGCTTTTTGACAGTGTGTGTGATTTGTATTGCAGTCAGTTGAACAAAACATTTTTCTAAAGGATTGTTAATTTATAAAACTTAACAGGTTATAATAAAAAAAAGTTGAACATAATTTACCGGTGTAGCATTGGTATGAAAACGTAAAATTTTCCAGTTGAAATTTTCCACTAGTTAATTATTTTCGTATATGTGTGCAATTCACCTTCCGTTAAGCGAGGGAAATATACTAGTTATAAAAATAGTAATTGAAAATATGCCTTTTGGCTCCGTTCCATGGTATAGAATAAAGAACAATGAGACCTGTTAGAATATATAATCGTCTTGCATTTTATCCGGCATTCAAAAATATTAATAAAAATAATTAAATAAAAAAAAAACCCCAACTGAAAAGTAAAACTTGGCATTGAGTTCAAACAGGAAATAATGAGAATAATGGACATGATGTTGTCGGGGAATCGTATTAATGATTAGTAACATTAATCACCCAATAATTATGATAATATTAATAGTAATAATAATTTAATAATGATTGTGTGTTAATCATTGAGATATGAATTATGTACCAGAATGTTTACCGACTATCGGAGCCAAAGTCAAATTAGACATTTGGAATGTGTTTGGCAATCGTTTGTACCCGAAATATTATCTAAATGGATATGAACTACTATAAGTTAATAAACAGGTCATCTTCCTCGCGGTCTATGTGTTTTATTGATTAGAATTTGTATGTTGCACTATTGCTTCCGATTAAAACGTACGGACATGTGAAATATATATATATATATATATACAAATTTAATTGCATATTGAATGTATAATTATGCTTAAAGAGTTGTACTGTTAATCCTGTTATCACGATTTGAAAACAAACCAAATCAAAAGAAATAAAACACGCAAACATTGTTATAACTGCGTTGTGGTTTAAATATATTACACTCGTATACTACATCAACTTAACATCACCATTAAGTCGTTAGTTATTTTAGATTCTGATCGGAGCGAATTTTCCGTCAATTAACACGATTTCGGCCAGAAGAGTTATTACCGACCATCAACGAATCTGAATACATTTTAGATAGTAAATTTCGTCTGCTAGTTGGAGCGTCAAGGACATCATTTTTTAAATTTCTCAACACGGTTTTTCAAATATTTGGGAAAGAAATACTAAAAATTACCAAAAAGCGGTGGAAAGTATAGGTTTTTCCTCTGCATCTCGAGACAAAAACTTTTTAGAAAACGTTAATTTTTATTACTAACCATTATAATTGTACATTGGAGCGCCAAACATATAACCGGGATACATGTTATACGGTTGTGGCGTTTGATAGAGACTTTGCTGATCGACCGGACATGATTCTTGGCCACCACTGTTCACCTCTGAATTTTGAGCACTGCAGTTCTGTAATGGAATGTGTTGCTATTAACATCGATTTTTTCAAATCGTTCAACTATCAAGATAGACGTGGGCATAATATTACACTGCATTAGAATTTCGTTTTGTACCATAATACTACCAACAACCAACATTAATGGACACCCGAAACGGAGTTTCGTCCTTATTTTTCACGCGCGGTTTGCATTAATTTTACTCGTGCGTGCGCAAACTGTTTCTGTGTTGTACCATTTAGAAGGCTTACCTGCTGCACATCGGCAGTCGGTTTCTTGTGGTTTCTTGTGTTCGATTGGTGTGCCGCGGCACTAGGCATCCAATGTTCGTTGATCGAAGGGTTTGAAGGATTGTACCAGTCGACGGCCTGTAATGTCATTGGTGAGTATGGCATCGCGGTCATCATCGGGTGGCCAACGGGTGGATAGTGGCCTGGAGGTGGTCCGCCCATCAGCGTGGTTACGGTGCCGGTGTAGGGGTCGTAAATTTCGTATTCGCCACCTGTAAGTCCCAGTAATGATATAAAATACAAAAAAAAAAAAAAACAAAAAGTTGATAATAAGGGCTGAGAGCAGTCGATTTTCGATGCAAGTAAACCATCGATATCAATGACTAGTAAAGATTGTCAAAAAAATGAAGAAGTTCAAATTAAAATTATAATTACAATCAATGCGAAGAAAAAAATGAATAAGACTCTTCCTAACATTATATATCCCCAGATGTTATTTTTATCTTCAATCATCGTTTTCCTCCTTATCTAACTCATCATTAATTTCATCTACAACACTGTTTTTCGTGTTGAAATAATATTCCTAATACAAATATTTATTATTATTTTTGAATTTTTAATAATTGATTGTTGAACTGTAATATCAATAATAATAATAAAAAAAATAATAATAATAATTATCCATAATCATAATAAAAAAATCGTTTCTTTATTGGTTTTGTAACCTGATTTTTTTTTTGGTGCGTTTCCACCAACTATTAATTTTAAGAAGCAATTTCTTATTTCAACTTCTAACCGTATATCGTACATATACTGCTAATTCGGTATAAACTAAACAACCTTGGTCATCGAAGTGAAATGTTGAGTACAAAAATAACATTTAAAATAGATTGAACTGTACAGTTATGGTAACTATTCCAATTATAATAATTATTTTGTGTTTTAATTATACGTATACGATCAAGTATATGACACCATAAAAAGAAGGGAGAATTTTTTTAATTGTTTCAAACGGCAACATTTATTTCGGTAAATAACTTTCAAGCGTCATTAGTGCGGTTGTGTATAATACAGTACCTACGATCAACGACGGAAATAACTATAGGTATGCCGGCAGAGTAGTTATCACGTTTTAAACTCATCTGATAAAAATACCAATGCATTTCTTATGGAACTTGGCGCGTGACGTCAAGCGCTAAATATTGTTGGCATACTAGTTATTTATATTATACGCACATACTATTTGCATATACAATTGCAACCCTTCAATTTAAGTCAGCACTATCAGATCGTTAGTCTTGTACTCTGGTAGGTTAGAAGTGAAAATAGTCGTACAAGGGAAACAATATAATCGTACGAGACGTAAAAGATCGAGAGGACAGTAAAACCGTTTCTAACGCAGTAACTTCCGTTCGTTTTCATTTGTTATTTAAAAATTAATTGTTGTTGAAATAATTATCGTTTGAATAAATAAAAAAAAAATAAAATAAATTTTACGTCTAAAACGTTTACGTAAGAACTTCTATTGCATTATGGCACTTAATTCAATAGGTGGTTTATGATTATGCATGTTACAGTTTAGACCTCGGCTAAAACAATAATTTAAAAGTCAATAATCTTGTTCTACCAAAATCTTAACGTTTTCTAAGAATGCACGTGTTAAAAAAGGAAGTTAAGTAAGAACTTAGCAATATATTCTGTACCGCTGAGAATGTACACCGCGGACGGATCGACGTACTCGCCATGCGAACACAACTCATCCAACGGGTTAATGATGGTATCAGTCGAAACGCCATCTGAAAACATATTACGACGTATTTATACTATTGTCTGTCAAAATATTGTATTGATTTTATGTTACTGACCTTCGTTTTCGTTTAGAACTTCAGTAATGACAGGTGTGCTGGTGTGCTTACGCCGTCCCAAGTATCCTTTTTTAAACAGCACGTCTTGTCTGGGCGTTGTGATTTTCGTGTACTCATCTACAAACGAATGAAACGAAAACATATCAATATTATTGTCTATTTGACGCTGAACATTATGATGATATTCTGAATTATAATATTAAATAATACACCTCGTTGAGTACGAATGTTATGTATTGAATTTGCTTTTGATACGGGAAGTTTAGATATAATTTCGGTGCAATGATTTTACCATGATTGCAAACTTATTGGATAATATCCCACGAGAAATTGTAGCCGCGTGTTGTGCGTCAATGGACATCAGCATAACTATGAAGCTACTTATCCCAGGATTTAGGACAATATTTTCCGTTATATGCAATGCAGTTCACGAATTGGACACGAATCATAAAAATCGACTAAAAAATTAATGCTGTTGAAAAGAAATTAATAAATTTGAACATTTCCCCGACTCTAATACTCGCGTGTAATTCGATCTTGTGTAATGACGTGTAGTGTTTTTATTTTTGGTATCGCAGCTACTTTACACGTGAATTTAAGGAATCAATTTAGTTGGGTAAATTGCGAGTGTAACTTAAAGGTTTAAAAACTAAACGAACGTTTTCGAGCAAAACTATACCAAAGCTCGTTCACTGGTTAATGATAAAGATTATACTAATACACAAACACGAGTGCGAGTGTATACGATCAAAGATCGTCGCACGATTGACGATTGATAAATCGTTTTTTTTTTAATTAAATACGAGCACGTCATATTGAATACTGGTATAGGGGCGCATAATTTATAAAACTCGCATGACTCGAGTTTTTATGAATCTTCCTATTAGTGATGGGAATTATTCGAATATTCAAATATTCGAATAGGTCCTTCGTAAATAATTCGAATATCAGTATTCGACAATACAGTACAATACGTAACGAAAATTATTCGTTTAAATTTTCGCGCAACACAAAACGTTTAATAATAATATTATATGGCTTATGGTGCATAAAAGCCTGCAAGAAGTAGATTCGAAGCCAGCGATATTTACTATTGGACATAGCAGTTAAAAATAAAATTTGTGCAAAACACTCGAAAATCATAATTAAATTATTATTAATACAGTATAAACTATAAACAACTTTAGCGAGTATCACTTGGAATGTGATACTGCTTACAACAAGCAAAACGTTAGTTCCCGGCACGGCACATATGATTTTATGTTAAAATATACGTATATAACGAGTAAAATAAAGCTAACTACGAACAGGTACCTGCAAGATAAGAACTATTTTCGTATTTAGGTCGATTAATCATTGACATACATTATCTTTAGTTGTGTAGATATGGATTACTTATTAATAGAGCGCGGATTTGTATGCACTTAAAAGTATCGAAATATGTCATATAACATGCAGTAAAAATCATGAAAATATGCAAAAAATATGCAAAATTTTTTTATTTATTTAAAATAAAAATAATAAAATAAAATAAAATATAAATAAATATATATAAATAATATAAATAAAATAATTCAATTTATAAAAATTAATTACTTAAATACTTAATACAAAAAAATTTAAGGAAGTTTCTAAACTTAATTTATTTTTAAAATTTTATTTATTATTAAAATAAATAATCATATGCATTTCAAGTTTATCTTGTGTGAAACTGTGTCGTTTATCGGTTAACATATTTTTAAAGACTGAAAACGAACCCTCGATATCAACCGAAGTTATTGGGGCATATTTGAAGCAAGTGATATGTCGATAATCGACTGACACAGCAAGAGCGATTAAGTTTACGTCGTAATCGATTATTTATTTTATAACTAAATATATATAAATAAATTATTATTTAGTGACTATGAAATTTATTTTTAATTTTTCTACTAGATAAAATATTATTTTATACATTTTTTTTTTAAATTTTTACTTCAATATGCAATAAATTTTGAATTTTACCAAAATATCCAAAATATACAATAACCTCTAAATATTCAAAAATATGCAAAAAAAAAAAAATTCACCATTAGCTTCAAATTATGATGATTCGTGGAGATAACTGACAAAAATCCAAAAATATTGAAAGGAAAAAAATATACGATTGCATAGAAATCCGCACTCTACTTATTAATATTAAATAGTATTAAAAGCTTGTCATGGAAAAACGGATAAAACAAATTAGGTATTGTAGCATCGAATATTCGAATACTCGAATATACATGACATTATTACTTCCTATAGTATCGCTTGTATTTTAGTATGTATTTCTGTTGTAAATCTGAGATAAAATATTCACATCCTCGTAATACATTTACTCGGTTGGAATTTCGCGTAAGGTATAAAAAAAAGTAACGGCACCGATTTCGTAATAATATATTAATATTTTCGTAAATGAGTATAATACGCGAACTATGTATAATCGATGATTGTTTTGAATTTTCATTCACAGCGTATAGGACGGTATCGTTTTATTTTGTCCATATTAATTTCCTTTGAAGGAGACCGATTGGAGTCCCTATAATATTTTATAATGCTATGGATATTCATCGACGTAAATGTATTTAGAAATAAAAATAAAATATGTTTACATTATACATTAGGTAATATATATATAAATATAAACGGATACGTTTGAAACAACAGAATCAATAAGTGGCTTGGGTCATTGTCCTAAAGTGCCCCATGTAGTATATATACACGGCATATAGTACACCCGTACCCGCATGCATACGAGGAGAGCGTATAAGAGCGAAATCGTGTATCTCATTGAAATCGTTCAATGAAAATACAATATAAGATGTATTATCAGCGTACCAAAACATATAATGCGAAATAATATAACGAATAATTATTGTAATAATAATGTTTTGGAATATATTATAATGCCAACAGCAGTCAACGTTCAAGTCGTAAATGAACGTAATAGCTTAAATTTTTTCATATGCTATTTTGTTCTTTACTTCTATTCTTATTTTATAGTTCCCTTACTCGCGTACATGACCACGAGATCGTTGGCAAAACTAGCGGTTTTTTTCAATTAGCTTATAGTTAGTTGTACACGCGTATTTCCGTGTACAAAAACTCGTTCACATTAATTTACTAACAGTAATGAAGTGATGAAAAACTGTTTAAAAACAAATAAATGCTGTACGGATTCGATGTAGATACGCATTATACACGTATGTTGCACAAAATGTCTAAATATACCGAACATAGCGCACCAGAGGTATATATATTTCACAATATTGCGTTCGGTGCTCGTTATAACGGGCTATTAAGTCGAAATGAAAAAATCGGACTGAAATGGAGTGACGACTACTCATCTGGCTTCGCTCACCGCCGCGACTTCGTAAGTTGGGTACGTATATACGCAAACCGTTAGTTGTTTATTGAAATTACAAGTGCACGTAAAAGAAGTTCTGAGATTTCTGAAATGTATCAAATTAATTAATTTATATATTGGGTAAACGCCCCATGTGGGCTCAAGTTCAGTGACAAAATTAATACATTCAACAAAACATGATAAGTAATAAAGATTTACAAAATGTACATTAATAGTATAGAATAAATAACATAATATTATAATTAGAATTTACAAAATAATATATAATAGTAATGTACATCAAGTGGATGAAAAACGAGTATTAAAACGACACAATTATTTTATGTCAAACAAATCAACATTTTTCAAATGATTGTATTCGCTGGCTATTCGATCAGTTGAATTATTAATGCCATATGGATATTCGATGAAAAGGAATTTTAAACGTAAGACAAAAACGCGATTGAAATTGAAGAACATGAAAGTTTATTAGCTGTAATAGTTCTGGATAAGATATTCATGATTGAGTAAGCAAGAGACATTTATTTACCAAGTATTCAAATTCAAGTGAACTTTGGTAACAATATTTATTATATTTTTTGAACTAAATTTCTCGTAAGTTCTACGTTCTTCCGAAGATTCACGAAAACTACTGAAAAATTCCATATATTATTTCTACGAAGCATCGTATTTGTTTGTTTGCCAAACGACAGTGAGACTTTAAAATTAAATTGTATTTTATTATTTTTCAATCACGTAAATTAGCATACCAAACAACATTTTTTGTTCATCAAATCAAATGTATTTATTTATGTAAATGTTATTTTTTCACTCGAATAATTTAAAAAAAAAACTACTTCATTTGAGTAAATCTTGAATTACATTATATTATTTATTTTGACCAAGTTAAATAAATTAAACAAACATGTAAGGTGAATCTCGTGAAAATTACGTCACTGAAAATCATATTTAGTTTATAACGTTTATAATGCATTTTTAAATATCTCTAAATACTATGCAATAATTTATATTATTATTTTTTTTTTTTTTGGCCTTCGTTTCATTTTTACGCCGAATATATTATAAATTTTGTATTGGTATAAAAATAAAAAGGTTTTATTCACCTGACATTTGAACATGTTTTGCATTGAGGTAATAGTATGTCTTTTATTATCAAATAAAAATTGTAGATTTACGGTTGTAGAGAATTTGTTCAGAACCCAATTTTACGGATGCTCGTAAAAAATAGAGATTTATTTATTTTACAGTAATAATCTAGATTCTAAAATAATTATTTTTTTAAAAAAAAAAGATTAATACTTAGAGATAGTTCATAATAATTTTTATACAAATGAGCTGTAAATAGAACATTCAGCTGTCATTAAGTTCATACTTATTACGCTCACCCACTATACGCATACACATAATTTATAGTAAGTATACTATACTGCAATATGCAGCATGTTATTACTGAATATTGTTATTAGCTTAATAATGATCTTATTATTTCATATACACACACACACACTCACATCATATGTGCGAATAAGGAGTGGGTTATGTATACAATATAATTTTTGTCCAAATCTTATAAATGTTAACTAGAAAATCAAGTATTATACATAGAATTTTTCAAATTTATTGCTGTTTTATAAATAAATAAAACTAAAATAAACTTAAAATAAAACAAATTATTAGTGTCAATAGTTCAATAATCTAATTTTATGAACATCTCTAACTTTTTAGTCCAATAGATTTTATTATAACAATGAAACATTTTTTATAGATGTATATTATAACTTAATTTTGGTGTTTTCATAATGCACAAGTAGAAATTTATTAAATTACGAATATACGTATTGTTAGCGTAAAACAAGGAATGTTAAAAAATAAATTACTCAACTTAAAACGTCACCAGGTCATTGTGATAAATTAAAACAATTACTCTTATAATACCATCTTAATATATAATCCGATTATAAAAGAAAATTTTATTTTAACACTGCAATATATAGAAAAATAACAGTTTTGCCGATGTATTGAATGTAACAAAAACTTTAGTTGTATAAAATAATTTTTCTGTTTTTTTTTTTTTTTTTTAATTTATATTTTTTGATATAATATCAACTTAATTTAAACTTTAATACAAAACACTCCAAATAATTGCTAAATCGGAAAAAGAATGTTAAACAATTTTTGTATACTCAAATAATAAATAAAAGACTTTAAATTTCAAAAATCTGTTTTCTGCGTTTGCTAAATCGTGTATTTTACTTATCAATAACAATATTTTTCTCGAGCGAAAATCTTTGAAATGTTCATCACTTTTCTCTTTTAGAACGGACACGATTATCGTAAAATGAAACGGTTCGACTACTTTACCGATTAAATATAAAATCTATTCAAGTATATAACTATGTATCCAGCATTTATATATTTTAGTTATAAACTACGCGACCATCACAGGAGGGATCGCCTGCAGTGAATATTTTTATGTGATGTATTATTTCTTTTCTGGCACACGTCTTTTGAGTGTAGTGGCCAAATTTGGTTAACAGGGTTTTCAAAAAAGATGCACGTGCGGTGTTTGATAAACATTTTAATTTATTAAAAATTTAATAATGTTGCTAGACGGCAAATATGTAAAGAAGTTTTTATATTATAAGATGCATGTATCTAGAATATTTTTTTACATTTTCAAACGAAAGTGAAAAATGAAATATTTTAATTACGAACACCATTAGAATTTGATCTACGACCACGACTGACAGTGTATTTTATCGTACGTGACATAGTCATGTGTTCAACTGTAAAACTTCGTAATTTGTGCATGAGCATATGATCTACACAATATAATAATATTCATAATATCGAATTATGAAAAAGTGATTTCAAACCGTCGTGAGAACTTCCAATATATTTTCTTTGTTCTTAATTTCTTAATATTATTTGAATGATAATTGGAACAAGTATTATAATAAACAAAAGGAGAGAGGAGAGAAATGGAAGTTTATAGAAGATTATTTTATTTTATTATTTTTTATAGAAGATTTGGAATTTTTTTTTTTAAAACAGTATTACTCGTCCGTTTTACGCTAGCGAATATTATAATGCTATGATCATAGCATAGTCGACTATGTGGTGTATATGAGTATATGGGGTATCATATCGTGGGGACAACAGAACCGGATGTAGCACAAGCGGTACCATAGGCCCTTCATTAATACGCCACCCCCACACTGACCTTTGAAACACATCGTAATAAGTTCAGTGTATAATATACTACCCATTAAGGTGTTGTTATCTCAGGCACGAGGTTCAAGCACTGGATTCGCTATCAAGGACCCTTGCGGAGTAGCGTGATTATGACTCTGCGAGATGGGGGCGGGTTTCTGATGAAACTCGAGTAAAAATTCAAACTAGACTTTTGAACAAGTTTTAAATACCGGTCGTGTTTTTGTAATTAAATTTCGAAAAACGATCGCGTAATATTCTAAAAACGTTTATAGCAGTACTATTTTTTTTTTACCTTCGTTGAACGTCACGGTGGAAGATTCCACGTTGTGGTGATGATGGTGATGGTGTTGCTGCTGATGCTGCTGATGTTGCTGCTGCTGCTGCTGCTGACCGCTGCCCACGGACTGATTTCCCCGGTTGGGTGATTGGTGGTGCTGGTGATGCGTCGTCTGACCATGGTGACCATGGCTTCGTCTGCCTGCGGCTGCGGCGAAATTGACCGGTTTCGGATCGGCCGCGTGCCGGCCGGACTGCTGGTGTTCCGCAGCTGTGTACGGCTTGTCTGCTGCAACATAACATAGAATTGTCACGATATTATATCGTATCGATCGATCAGCTAGTGATATAAGCTGGTGGTAGCTAGTGGTGATCAGCAGGTGCCTAAGATTACCCCAGTTCAGAAAGTACAAGTACTATGTGGTGTAGCACTTCCTAACATAAGACGAGAGGTGGCAGCTAGATTAGAGAAAATAAAACAAGAATTAGACTTAATACATCCTATATGGAGGTAAACTCATGGGGGGCCGACTCAAATCGAGGAAAATGTTTTTGAAGACAACAATTAGCCTACCCACAAGCACCTGAAGCAACAAGAGTAGACGTATGGAAGGAGGGAATGAATGGGCATAATTCACAGCTATGGAAGTATCCGAAGAAAAAATTACCAACCGGACGCCATTTGTCATGGTCGACGTGGAAGACACTAAGTAGATTGCGAAAAGAAACTGGAAGAACAGCTAGTAATATGTAAAAATAGAGAATAAAAGGGGTTGGAAAATGCGAATGCGGTGAGGATCAGAATACGGACCATCTGTTTGCATGCCCACTACTACCAATTAAGTGTTGAAAAGAAGATTTTTTTTTAATTTATGAAATTTCAGACAAGGCAATACATATTGCGGCTTATTGGGAAGGGAAAGGAATATGAAGACCGATACAAGAAGAAGAACAACAACAAATAAACTCGATTTTACCAGTAGGTAGGTTTCTAAATATGTATACTCATTCATCATAACCCACCCCTCCCGTTAATATAGGTCGGATCCGAGCCCGGCTCTATGTAGGTTAGGTTAGGTTACGATCAAAGAATGTTTTTACGATTTGTATCTTCCTTAAAATTTAACGCGATGTAAACAATTATTTAGAATATATAACTTTATAGCGGGTAGTTTATACATTTTTTTTTATTCCTCGTCTTAATTCGTTTCCTTAAAACAAAAAATATTAATTACACAAACTTCTTATCGACGAGAACTTGGGTTTTGTTACAGTATATTATGTTCAGTCGGTATTGAATATTGCTAAATATTTTACACGGGAAAAATCAATTAACCGAATTACAGTGACCAGCGTTTATTGGTTTTTATATTGAATAAATCGAGTTTCAGTTTATGAGTTACCGTGATAGTTATTTCTAGAGTTTGTTTATAGAAATATATACCAAATAGCCAAAACAGCGATTGTATAGACAAGCTTTATTTGACCAGAATATATTGAAATCGATTGGTGAATGGAAATACTTCTTTGTTTTCTTATCAGTTTTACTATTTAAATTAATAGAACATTTAAAAATCCAATTAGATTATACTATTTATATAGTTAATAGGACTTAAATACTTTTTATTCTATGAGAACCTTGAAATTTAGGTATTATAACTAAAGAAAACATATTCAAAAGTATATTTTAGTACCTAGTGTATATTAATATCTCAATGTTTTTATAAATTAATTTTTTTAAACATTTGTGATAGTATTTTAAAAAAAATAAAACTTGTTTCTAACAGTAATTTCTACATCGATTTAAGCTTGAAGTTATTTTAATTGCAATATAATTTTAAATAATCACTTGTATACAATTTCCTTAATAATTTTTAATATTTTAAAACCATCATATAGGTATCAGCATATGACTATTCACATAAACATAAATCGTACCAGTTTTCAGAATGCGATGCGATGATGATTTTATTTATTTTTAATTTAAAAATAATAAAACAACACTGACTCACAAACAAGTAAACGAAGCGAGACAAGCATGAATCTTAGAACATTTTTTTTTTTTTTATTAATTATATCATCATTTTTATGATTGCGAACAACAAAGAAAAATATTAATATTATATTTAAATATAGTTAATTTTATCATTTTAAACGATTGTTTTTAGTACTCGGAGTCGTTCGGGATTTCGGACGATAGTCAAGGTGAACTATAATAGAATGAATTTTTACGTCAAATTAGATCATCAAGAATTACAAAACGTAATACTATGTATACTGCAATAACATTTTTAGGTAGGTCAAATAATAATTTATCAGTCGCCAGTTCACGGCATCAGCAGTTCAGTGTCGAATGGTTGAATTACATTTCGCAATTATCTAATTATTTAATTAAATATTCATACACACTATTGATCTACAAGTTTTCTATCGATGGAAATAAAAATACATAAAAATTGATAGTATTTATATTACGCATTATTATCGTATGCGGTACGCACATCGATGACATTCACTAGCTATTGAAGTACGAGAAACGAGTTCCACGGTAAACGGAATCGGAAAAATCGTATAATTATTATGTACACAAAAAGTATATTACGTGTTGACGCATTTTAGCAATACGCACATCACGTCGTAGTTGTATTTGAACACCGCGAAGGCGATTTGTTCAGTTGATCGAGTGATTTCGATTATAACCAGCTGTGATTAATGGTCGTTTACTGGACACTGATATGCGGAGATCGTCTAGTTGTCGGTGATTTCGATCGCTCGCGCAACACGAGGTCACACGGTCTCGGCTAGTGTATCGACCTCGTATGTTCGATAAACAAAATAGATTTTGCATTACACCGACGATCGATGGTACACGTGTTGATTTCGGGATGATTATGCTGCGCTTGCGGACGCCGCAAACCAATGATTTATACCCTTTAAAACGACGTTTTTTTTTTTTTTTTTTTGCGTTCAGACGCTAGGAGTTGCGATACTAGAGTCGCATGTGTAAATAAGACGGCGCATTGTGACATAAAGTGTGTAAGTTCGCGACGCTTGTCCCACGCTGTTTTCGTTCGCGAAAATTTAAATTAACTCTACCTCGAACGTTGAAGGTTTGATGGTAACGAAGTAATAAAAAAACAAATGCGCGGTACATCAATCGAGTTCATTAAATATGTTATCATTCAAATCAACAATTTAAAGTTTGCGACTGCCAACATCGTTCTAAAAATTGATACTAACAGCGATGGGTTTAACATTACACACGCGTGATGAATATTTCAAAACGAGACCGATAGTCGAAATACGAGTTTTTGATTTTTGACAATTACAAAAAAATCCAGGTATTCGTCTACCGTCCCTAGCTTATGATATGCGGTGCATAACAACGCGGACTTTTGCGTTACATTCTATCGATTGCCCATGTCGTGACCGCCAAGCAAGACACCTGAGCAAACACGGTTTGTTTCCAAAAGCAAGTGATACACTATTATATTCACATACTGTATGCGCAATATATAGTAGCACTACTCTGCGGGTTCCTAATACCTCCTGCGTGTCACATACCAGGTACTTGGAGGGTCGAATCGAAACGGCACGTTGGGTTTTTTAACATTTTATTTTTTCTCGTTGTTGCTTTCGCCCGGTTATTAATGTTTTTACCAAAGAGAAATATTCGCCTTTTCAAAGAGAACGATGTAATTCCATTACAATCATTGTAGTATGTGAGAACCTTATTTACAGAGCAATGTCGTTATAATTAAATGGAATCGAATAAAAGAAAAAAAAACAAAAGAATATAATTAAGTCAAAAAATTAATTATTACACCGTGCCGCACGTAATAATATACTTAGTTCCCGGTCGGAAACGTTCTGCGTACTTGTACTGCGAGTGTATTAGGTACACACTTAATTATATTACTAATGCCATCAGACGCGAATCCAGGGGTGCGCGTTCCTCCAAATCTACCAAAAAGTTTTTTTTCATGCACGGCAAAACTTTTCGTCAACCAATAGAATAACATGTACAATTTACATAGCACAGAATCGGTTATAATTTCTATTACATACAAGCCACACATCAATAATTATGTTGTATTTTGTTTATCGTGTTGTATCTTGTATCAATCAATAATACTATACAGTGTACTGATATAAAAAATATCGAAACGTCATCTTCGTTACAGCAGGAAATCGTTGGTTGTCGCGCGTCACGGTCATTTCGATGAAAAAAAAAAAAACATTGGTTTTTTTATTAGTAAATCATGAGTTTAAAAGTATTGATTTTGCTCATGGGATGTTTAATATTTTAAATCAAAATTACAATCTAATATATATATAATTTTTTTTTAATTTTAGTTACATTGCAAATGTCTGTCGCAACAGTAGACAGAAGTTTCTTCACATTAAAAATGCTTAAAACTTGATTAAGAACAAGAATGGGAGAAAAAGGATTGACAGGCTCTTACGCTATATCCACAAAGATATAAATGTTGTGAGAAAAAAATATAACTAACAGATTTTCTAAAGAAAAACAATGAAAACTTGACTTCGTATAATAAAAATAAAATATACTTTTAATTTGTAATACCATAATACTGTGTTATTTTATTACACTATTTTATTACTACAACTTATCATACATATATCCTATTTGTATATATGTATATGGCTATACGCCCCCACCCTCGAGAAAAAATTATAAATCCGCTCCTGACTGTCACTCGCTGAAATCGACTGAACACTCGAATGATTTTAGGTCGTGCTTTTTATGGAAACTGATCAATGATTTTCAAAACCACGTAACGGGACGGAGAGCTAATAACCACCACGTTGGGAGCGTGTGACTACGTATTTTTATAATATACAATACACCGACATTTCCTTCTCATGAATATATTTAATCGAACCGAAAAAAGAAGCGAAATTAGTTTGTAAGTAAATTTATCTACATCATTTTTTTTTTTTTTTTCAAAAAATAGTCATGACAAAATAACTTACATCGTAATCCTATTACTCAGAATTCTGAACAATTTTTATGTTCCGTTGATATAAAAATGAAAAAAAGTTAAATTTATTAAATATTTTTTTATAAAAAAAAAATAACATTAATATTATCCTTTTTGTGTGTTTTATTAAACATTTAAATCGATTCAAAATTCTTAGAAAAAAAAAATGGCAAAACGAAACGCCTCCTTATTAAAATTTAGATGGTGGTTTAACATACTATTATATGACCATACGTTTAATCATGTTACAAATATACTATTATAACGACCGATATGAGACTCC